AATCAATACATTGCAAACAATATAAAATTCTGAAAATATTTCAATTTCATTATTTCCTTTCTATTATTCAGTTCAGTTCATGGATTTACTTTATTCTGACTTAGTGTGCTTAACACTACTATGATTTGTAAATGATGGTTTATGACATAGTACTCTGTGCAAAAGCCCTCCCTTGTCATTCAGTCAATAAACAAGCCATGGTTCTATAGGGTGCAAGACCGTATCACCATCCATTGATATTTAACACTATTGTTTTTCCTCTAGTCCAAAATGGTTTAGCTTCTTGAGGGAGGAACTCTAAACTCCCATCAAGTAGGGCTAAAGAGGCAAGCAAAAGATAAGATGATCAGCCCTGGATGTTGGCTTCATATTTTCCAGTAGGAAAACCTGATGTACAAACAAAGAAAGAATGTGTAGTTACTCCCCTGTGGATTGGCACGCTCTGTAACATTGCAGTTCCTCTTCAACAGATATAATGGATTCATGAAAAATAATTAAACAATAGTGCTAATTTCTCATTCTCCATCCAGTTAAGAGCAGATCCAAATCTTGATGCAGTTGTTAAAGGGAAAAATCAGTTCTGGCTTCTTACACAGCTCATTAAAATACTTGAAACTTATTTTAAGATGAAGTGAACCCTAAATCCTTATTACAGTTATCTTATCGCTGAAAAATTTGCAACATTTGTTTTCAGAATACTGATAAAAGAGGACAGCTCCACCACAGGTGGATCAGAAGGTATATTTCTTTATTGCATTATTAACAAAAGGAGCCAAGATGAGAACAGATCTTAGTCTCCAGGGTTTTGAATACCAGCATGCTTATTCCTAATTTATAGACATTCTGAACTAAATTGATCCACATGAACTTTTTCAAATATCCCAACCATGATTCAGTATTATATTCTTGTAGATTCTACCTAAGTCTTGATTTTACAGAGTTTGGAGGGGGAGGGATATTTTTGATTAGAGGGGTTTAAGGATGCCACTGGTAATTCATCTTTTATTTCAGGGTTTCCCATCAGGGTATGGATGGCCATTAGAGAAAATAGGAGAAGAATACTAGGCTACTCAGGTCTTTAGTCAAATCAGTATGGATGTTCTGAGATGTTCCATTTATTTTATTTGGTGGATAATATATAGTTCCAGAGCTCTCCAAATATTGCTACCTAACTGTAATATTTGCTCTTTTTACCCCATTAAATGCATGAAAAATAATAATGTCAATTGTTGTTAATTACTTACATTCTCTGCATATTTCATTACCGTTAAACTGAACTCAGGGTTTTGCTTTGCTTATTTATGACCGCACATATACTTTGTGCTGAACATGCATCTCTTGACATGATGCTCAAAGGACTGGACTGACCTCAGACAATTTCTGCCTTTGAATGTTACCATTTAACATTTGATATCTTGTCCTAACGAAATAAACTGTGTGAATCTCAAAAAGTGCTTTACAGTACTATACCCTTCATCAAGGGACTGAAATGAGCAGTTGACCAATTGCATGAAGTCCAGAGACACAACATGAGGAGATGCAAAATATAATATTCTTTAGCAGCTGACCTCTAAGAAAATGTCCGCATATAGCATCGATATGCAAAATTTCATAGCCAAGGCCAGCATTCTCAGCTAGGAAGGCTCTTGGTGCTTCCACATTCATGTCTACTGGATAGGGGTCCTTCTTGTCAGCATTCTGCATGTCAAATTTCCTTGATTTGGTGCCTTCTGGATGTGTTAGCCTTCTATTCTCATGCTGGCTAGAATGATAGGAGTTCCAGTCTCAACACAGTGGAGGATGACAGGTCAAGGAAGCTACCCTGGGGAGACAATTGACCCTATGAAATTTCTCTTCCTCCTATTTTAAGTGTGTCAGTAATTAAAATTGTCTCCACCTCCATGCTTTCTCTTCCAGTCAGACTCTATGGATAAATGCATTTACACATGCCCTTGTTAATCTCCTCTCTGCACCTGGTGTTCTGGGGAAACCCTCCTTGTGTTCCTTATCTGCACAGGTTCAGGGAGCAGTGACTTAAAAACATTCTCCTCTGTAAAATGCAGTGCATGGCCATAGATCATTTGCTATGAGTGAAATCAGGAAGCTGTCATTGTTTCCAACACAAGCTGTGGGGCATGGAAGTCCTGACACATAAAGCCACAGGGTTTGGGGGTTGTTTTTGTTTTTTTTATTATTATCATTCAGAAATAAAATAGAAACCACATTGAGCTTAGAAAAGCCTATCTAAGAGTCTTAACATTATCTTTCTCAGAAGATAAATAGTTTCCCGTTGGCGTTAGTTTGAGTGGCTTTCCCACCACCATGCATGCTAGCTTATTTTGTCCTAATATTAAAGGTGTTTATAACCAGCTGACATTTAAGCAAGACTTTTGCTCTTCCCTAGGGGCTCAGATCCAAGCAGCAAATATTTCTCCTTTTGGGAACAGACATGTCAGTAAGAGACATGGGCTTGTGATGGACTTTGCTTTTCTTCTCTGGCCCTTGGACTCGTGTTTCTAAATTGATTTCTTTCGTTAGATTGTATCACATATGCTACATCAGGGCTAAACTCTTATCCGCAGACATCAAGCTGAAGAAAATAAGGTGATAGGACAATACTCCTTATCACTATCCTTCCCTAAGTAAATTATTCAGAGAGTCTTGAGGTAGAAATGAATTTACCTAGAAATAAACGCCAGCTTCCAGTAAAAGAAAATGTTGTAGATCATGGTCACGTGATTCTGGGATGCTGCCAACTGCCGTAATTCCAGGAGGGTTGCCAAGCACCCAAAATGAGATCATGTGACCTTAGCGGCCTTGCCATCAGAACTTCAAATCTGGATCACTAAACGATTGGGTGTAAGTCGAGGATTATCTTGATTTGTTAAGGCCACCCTACTCCAAAAAGTATCCATACATTAATTTAAAAGCACAACAAAAACAATATGGTTGCCCAGACTAAAACAGCAATCCCCAACATTCAGAAAAATGATATGGGTTCCAACAATAACTTAACCCCATGTCCAGGAACAATTTCAGGTCTTAAGGTACTTGGAATCCTTGGAGAGTTGGAGCCATGTGTAGTGCAGGAGCTATGACAGTAGAGTCATGATTCCTCAGTCTGACAAGATAATAACATTTCAGAGACCTGGAGTACATGTTTGAACACCTCTGATGGTCAGAAAGAACCGGAGACAGGCAGTTCCTCAAATAACCAGCCCCTAAGCCATGAAAAGGTCTGTAAGTAATAGCCAATATCTTGAACTGCTATTGCATTTTGAATCAGCTCTACCTTCTGGATGGTCTTCAACTACAGCACATTGTAATAATCCAATCATGGGATGATTAGGATGTGAGTGGCCATCTGAAGGGTCTCCTTATCAAATATTAAATATTTTTAAAAACTGTTCTGACTGATGAAACATAAAAAATGTCTGATTCTCTAAATATGTAAACAATCAATAATACATTAAAGAAAACCTTCAGAGTTATTTTTTTTAAAGTTTGAATAAAAATAATATATAACATTCTATCCACCTAATAGTCTATTTCTGTAAAATGATCTTCCACTAACCTGGTGTTCTCCAGATGTGCTAATCCCATCATACCCTATCAGAGTGGCTTTCTGCAGATATAGAAATGCAGTCCCATTTGTTTCACAAATGTATTTATGTGTATTCCACCTTTATAATTTTTTCATAAATAACTCAAGGTGGCAAACAGACCTATTCCAGCATTCTATTTTCCCCACAACAATAACCCTGTGAGATGGGTTGGGCTAAGAAAGAGTGACTAGCCTAAAGTCATCCAATTGGCTTTCATACCTAAGGCAGGACTAGAACTCAAGGCCTCCCAGTTACTAGCCTGATGCCTAACCACTAGACCAATTTTGATGAGTTGAGAAAAGGAGCCTTATGGCACATGTTGCAGGTCCCTGTATGAATGAATATTTTAAAGAGAAACTATATTTTGGAGCAGATGCTAATGGACCAATCATCAAGTAAGATGCTATCTTAGCTGTTTTGAGTTCACTTGATCCTCTCAAATAATGATCAACCATATTCAATAAGTCCAGCAGACCTCCTAATGCTGAGTTCCTCTAAAAAAGGAGAATAATTGGAAGAAAACAGAGAGATATGCATGCTGAGTAGGTGTTTTTCTTCAGGGATATTCTATCTTATTTTATTGCTAGACTAGAACTTGCCTGCTAAAGACCACAAATTAAGTTCCCTGATGAGACAAGATTAAAGGAACCAATGAAGCTTGCCTTCTACTTTTCTGGAGAAAAAAATAACCCTGAGAGAAGAAATATAATATCTCTTGTGTTTTCAGTTGCTCATTGTAGAAGCCAAACAGCAGCTCAAACTGTCTGCCTGGCAGAAGTCTTCTTGAATAAAATCCTGAGCAAAGTTTACTTTGGACACTTTCATTCTTGCATATCATCATCAACTGTGAAAAGCCCCTAAAGGTTTTGTGTATGAAGACCTAGAATTACTATACCTCTCCTTAGACTCATCGGATGTTTCATTTCTTCAAATGAGAAGGACACTTTTGAGAAGCAAGAATCACCATTCCCCGGTTGGATGCAAAACAATTGCATGAAACAACATCTTCTTTCCATTGAGCTTATTCTCCGCACATGCACACACATAAACACAAACAAATTCTGTCCCTCAAAAAAACCCTTTCTTTCTTTGTATGATTTGGCTGTTTCTGGCTGAGTTGATGGTTTCTCTGTTTGTTCTCCCTTTCTGTCAGTTTACTACCAGACGCAAACTGAGTTAAAAAGTGAACTTCTACAAGTTTCATTTGCTGCCTGAAGTCAAGATAAGAATTAGCAGCATTCAATCTGTTTCCATGTCACTAACTGACAGCACAATTTGGATAGGCACAACAAAGAGCCAAGCTCCTGAAATGAACACATGTAGCTTTCAAGCACTTTCCGCCTCTCCCCAGGGCAGGAAGAGGGTGAGTCATAGAGTTGCTCCTTCCCTCTCTTCTTTAGAAGGGCTGAGGGTGCTGCGGTAGAGTAAGCAGAGCTACCCAGGTTCTTGACAGGTAAATTTGCTCTTCCCTTATCACTTATTGAAGCAGGGTTGAAAATGTGCACAGGGTTGATTATAGATTGAACAATGGACAATCCCCTTTGCCTAAAAGTTGCCAGGATTCTTAATATATTCTTGATGTGGTAAGGGGGGGGGAGAATGCTACTAAAGAGCAGCGTTCTTTGTGAGTTTTGATCTCTAATCTTACAAAGGAGGAAAGGAAGCATGCTTCTTTTGGATGCTTGGCAACTAACCATGGGTACAACTACCTGCAAAGGTCTTTGATTTTAAAAAAAATCCATTGACTTGGTTTCCTCTGATTGGGTGCATTTCCCACCCCCTCACCCGCCCCCGGGCCTCTGGTACATGCCCACCAACCCACACCTACACACCACTGCCACCATTTCTTATCATTTACGCAAGATCTCGCACACGATTTTCAAGCTGATCTATGCAAGAACGTTTACCAATGCTGAGACTTCCTAAGGCTGGTTAGAGGAGGTGGAAATCATAGTGTGTGCTGCAGATTGAGCCCCAGATTGATGGATCAATCAATTTTTACAGAACAGCCAAAGAAAGGAAGAAGATAGCTATTTTTTAAAAAAAAATAAGATTCATTCTGGTGGGATGCTGAAAATTACTAAATCAGCATTTAAGAAGATTAAATAGTTCTTAACCATGAAGTCAGAAAGGCTTTCTTTCAGCCTTCCAGCTCTGCAATAAAACACAATTGCAAGCAGCCGTGATAAAGAAGGGGCAAACTGAGATCCTTCACCTTCCTTTCTACAGGAACCTGAGAAGAAACGGCTCCTTCAAAACTTTGAATTGTCACCATGAGCAACCTTGGAAAGCCAATAGCTCCAGCTTCCCCCATTCTGGCCGAGCAGCCCAAAAGAAAAAGGGGGCGGCCAAGGAAGCATCCACAGGTAAGAGTTCATGCTTTAGTAAGCTCAGAAAATTCTGTTAAACCTTTGCCTTTGTATTAAGTTAAGATTTATAAACAGTATACTCTCTGACCATAATAGAAATGATATTAGATGACAAAGATTGCATTCCGAAACAGTCTCAGCAATTCCAGCCAACTTTGCTTTGTTCAAGGCTAGAGATCGTTTTCTATTTATCAGTGTAGGTGTGTCATAATAATGTATAGGGCAATTTATATGATCAAGCTGAACCACTGTTCAGAGCTGGAATCTACAAAAGAGATCTCCAACACATAGTTGTCCAGCCACTACATGAATTCATCCAATCAAGGGAAGTTCATTATCAAACTATGCTTCCTGTTAGGAAGTTTATTTTAACACCCAGTCAGAATCTACCTTTCTCTAATTTAAGGCCATCGTTCTGCCCTCTGAGCAATAGAGACTGAGTTTGGACAAAACTGTAGTTACTTTAGTTTAGAGGATTGTGAAGTGGTGTACAATGTGCATTCCTACTGCCTGGAGTCACTGGGAGCCAGCTGGTAATATAAATGTAATAAATTATTATTATTATGGTTGGTCACAATCAACCAGATATTTAGACTGGATTTTGGCATTTTTACCCACCTACCCAGTTTTCCTGGGGATCTGAGATAGATAGGTGTTGTTGTCTGATGGTTTTAAGGGTATCATCTGCAGGATGTAAGCTGTTCCAAGTAAAGCTCCCTTTTGCAATTGACTGACTTGATTTTGTCAATGGCGATGAAGTTCAAGTGATGTTCCAGATGTTTTGGGATTGCACCCAAGGCATTACTCTTTTGCCACAGAGAAGAGCAACAAAGATGATTAGGGGACTGGAGGCTAAAAAAATATAAAAGGAACGGTTGCTGGAATTGGGTATATCTAGTTTAATGAAGAGAAGGACTAGGGTGACGTGATATCCAATATCTCAGGAGCTGCCACAAAGAAGAGGGAGTCAAGCTATTTTCCAAAGCGCCTGAAGGCAGGACAAGAAGCAATGGATGGAAACTAACCAAAGAGAAAAGTAACCTAGAACTAAGGAGAAACTTCCTGACAGTTAGAACAATTAACCAGTGGAACAACCTGCCTCCAGAAGCAGTGAATGCTCCAACACTGGAAGTTTTTAAGAAGAAACTGGACAGCCATTTGTCCAAAATGGTATAGGGTTACTTGCCTGAGCAGGGGGTTGGACTTGATGACCTCCAAGGTCCCTTCCAACTTTATTATTATTATTATTATTATTATTATTATTATTATTATTATTATTATTATTATTACTTCTATTTGCAGGTCTTTGTATTTTGTGATTTTCTCCAATTATTTCCTTTCTATTCTGCTGCCTCCAGGTGTTGCAACATCCACTATCCAGATTTTTTTTGTCTTTTGTCTAGACCAATGTTAAGTCTGGGATGTTATGTGGCAGGTGCTTATGTTTCTGAAATCCCAGAGCACTTTAGCATCTTCATTTGTTATTACTTTATCTACTTTGTGGTCCCACCATTGTTTGCAGGCAAATGGTATTTCTTGCAGATATTCCAGTGCACCATTGATGCTATTTTGTCATGCTGTTGTTTGTAGTCAGTCGGTACAATCTTCTTGCAGCAGCTAACCAGATGGTCCACTGTTTCTTCAGCTTCTTTGCAGAGACAGCACTTGCTATCTGTTACTGTCCTCTCAGTTCTGGCTGTGTATGCATTTGTTCTTAAGGCCTGGTCTTGCACAGCCAGAATTAGCCCTTTTTCTCTTTCTTCAACTTTCCTGGTCTTAGCCATTATTATTATTATTAATAGTAGTAATAGTAATGGTGGTGGTGATGGTAGTAGTAGTAGTAGTAGTAGTAGTAGTAGTAGTAGTAGCAGCAGCAGTAGTATAATTAGGAAAAGAATGAGATTACATTCACATACAATGTATAAGGAAGGAGGTGAGCACAGTGGCACGTATGGTATATTAGTTAGTCTTTTAATTATGTCAAACTATGTACAAACATTAAGATTCTCAAAATATGCACAACATTCTTCATAATGTTTTAAATATTTATTCAAATGTAAATATTTTCTGTACTGATATTCTTTTTTGATAAGTTTGGTTTCCATTGTTGTATATGTTGTTTTGGTCAAGTATATTTTTGGTGATACCTACTATATCTATATTCACAGGATATTCATGTCTGTGGTTAATTTAAGTACAGATCACTGAATTAACCAACTCTTCTGAGTTTGCCTGACATATTGAACAATAAACTAAACACACGAATAAGGTTGATCCAATATGTTAGGTTAAAATGAGGTCATTGGTTTTATGAACACCAACTTTTTAAACCAATAAAATCCTGCAGTAAGTGGTACATCTATTTTTTTTTCTACTAAAAATTGTTGTTATGTTTTTGCAAACCTTAAATCTCCCTGAACTTTGATGTTATGTGTTCAGGGTGTCATTTTGGTTGCATTAAAGATTCACAACAACGTGCTTTTTTATGGGGAATATTTATTCCAGAAGTCTAGTTTAGGTATATTTCCAGAAGGGCATAAAGATTGCAGCAAACCAGATGATTAACCGACAAACAAATGTCCATTTTACCAATAAACCAATAAACTCATTCACTTTCCTGAACAATACTCTATAGCATCAGATGATGGTCCTTACATCTGGACAGAAAAGTCACAGCAGTTCTCAGCCTGCTTACACAGTAGGCTGTCTTTCAGATTTCTAGTATGCTAAGCATAGCCAAAGCATGCACATTCTGAGGAAGAAAAGAATGATTGCTTTGCAATAAAACTGCAGATGATTATTTTCTACGTTGTTCTCCAAAACAACCATAGCCACCCACAGACAAGTAACATGTTGATGTCTATAGAATATTTCAGTTGTATCCAGTGGATGTCAGTGACAAGTGTTCCTTTTGACTAATACTGAGGCGTATCCATTGGAAAAGTAATTAAGAAGAGCTAACAAAAGCACTGCTTTTGATTCCACATTTAACTATTAATAGATTATTTTCTTCTCTATTGCTAATATTGGTGCCATAGAAGATCCCTGGTTAATCAAATAATCTTCTCATCACATACACCTTTGAGTCCAATTGATTTGCAATTTGGCATTACCCGAAAGCTGATATCCATGGTAGAAGTCATTTTTTGCATCATGAGAATTATTGAGACTACTGCTCAGTAATAGGCACTTCTGTCTAATAGTTTATTTAGACTTGATGCCTTCAGGAAACCTGTTCAGTATCTGCCACCAAAAGATTCTGGGTGTATGTCCTGGAGGTTTTATTCATTTCATCTGGTGTAACACTAGATTTTATCTCGCAATATTCTCTGTAGTTACATACAGAGAAAAATAAGACCTACAGTAGAGATAGCCGTCCTTCTCATTCATAATAACCTTCCCCGCTTTTCCATCCAAAAAGGATCCAACTGGACCTCTGCCCCCAAAGAAACCACGTGGACGGCCAAAGGGAAGCAAGAAGAGGAGTGCTGGTTGTGGACCAATGGTAAGAACAATCAGATTGGCACGCTCTGCTCCAATTTTCTTTACTTTCTGATACAGAAAAGGGACTGATGGTCTTTGGACCTGGAAACCAAGAACTGAAATCAAATATACAAGTACTTGTATGTAAATCATATAATTTAAAAGTTTCCCTTTATTATATGCCAGATTTTCTGAACCTTTGAATCAGTTTTTGATTCCCAACAATTACCTGGACTAGCCCCTATAGTTTTCTTGACTAGTTTTTTTCAGAAATGGTTTGTGTTTGCCTCCTGCCTAGCATTGAGAGAGAATGACTGACCCAAGGTACCCAGCTGGTTTTGCACCTAAAGATGGACTAGATCTCAGGTTCTCTCATTTTCTAGCCTAATGCCTTAACCACTACACCAGTGTTTCCCAAACTTGACAATTTTAAGGCATGAGGACTTCAACTCCCAGAATTCCACAGCCAGCAACGCTGGCTGTGGAATTCTGGGAGTTGAAGTCCACATGCCTTAAAATTGTCAAGTTTGGGAAACACTGCACTACACCAAACTGACTGTCATATAATATGCCAGTACTAATGCATTAAATATAACCCATCAACCGACAACCCATCATTCTCCACCATTATTCTTTGCCCATTTCTTCTAATGATTCCTTGATCTTTTTTGTCTAATGTCACATATCTTCCTTTGCCATTGAGAATATTGTTTTTCAGTTAAACAGTGATTGTTTTGTACTCTGATTCCAAAAGTAATGATGACTGCTACTATCAACTTTGATATCTTCTACTTGTTTTCTTTATTTCCTATATCTCTTTCATCACATGGAGTTGCCATTGATACAGCTCCTTTATGTTAGGATTCTATTGAGACATTATGAGATTTTCAAAGAGTTGCCTGACTAACACATCCAGTAATAATTATTAGTATTAATAATTGATTAAAGTATGCCATCTGACTCCCAACAATTCTGGGTGGCTCACAACAATCAAAACAATGAAATTAGATTAAAACCCATTAAAAGGAAAATAAAAGATGGCAAGACCAAGAGACCAGATGGAATTAAGCAAGGAGTCTATCTCACCAAAGGCCTGGGTGAAGAAGCCAGGTCTTCACAGAAGTTTTAAACAACAGACAAATGAGGGCCACCCAAATCCAGTAGTGCCTAGAACATCACCATCAAGGCAGCTAAATTAGGAATCTTTCTGGACATTAAAATATGTTGAGGAATCCTTTCTGAAGATATCCTTGCTTTCAGAGGTCAGTTAATCAGAGAACTTTTCCCTTTACTGTTCTCAACCAATGGAATCAGTGGTGGGATTCAAATATGTGAACAACCTGTGTGGATCCCACTTCCGGAAGTCCATTCTGAGCCTGGGCAACAAAAAATTAGCTACCGGTTTTGCCGAACTGGTGTGAACTGGCTGAATCTCACCACTGAATGGAATGTATATACTGTGTTGTCGTTGTTGCTCTGGTTGTCTGCTATCATTTCTATCACTGATATTATTTTATTTTTAACACTGAAAAATGAGATATAAACGCCCACTGGGACCCACTGGCAGAGAAGGAGAATTAGGTCATTGTGCTTTTCAAACATGTACTAGCCCAGTTTTCTTTCATATTCATTCATTTCTCAGCTTCAACTTGCCAATACATTTTTGATGGCGATCTCCCAATTTTTCTTTTCTTTTAGCCCTAATGTGTTGATTTTGGTCACTAGATGCAAGTCTTTCTTCTACTATCTTTTCAAAATTCCTTTTCCTTTCCTGAATCATTAGAGACTACCTATCAAGAAAATGATAATTGGGGTTTAATGTATTGATTACAAAGAGTACATATTGCCTAAGAGACATGCTGTTTTTGTTGTTGTTGCTGCTGCTGTTGTTCTATATTACAGGGGCACATCTCTACTGCAAAAAAGCCCAGGGGAAGGCCACGAAAGTGGGTAAGTGTACAGAATCAAAACTGGGGCATGCTTTCTTTTTCTTCTTAAGTAGCAGCTCTTCTTTCAATGTAAGAATGCATCATTTTTTTCCAGGACTGAGGGCTGTCCTCCCAGGACTGAGGGCTGTCCTCCGTCACTCAGTAGTAAAATAAAGGTTACACTTTAGAAAGTCAGGAGTATAGCCTCAGTGAAAACAAAATAGAATTGTAGCTTCAATTAAAACTAATATTATTATTCTTCAGTTATTTATTATTATTTTTCTTATCTTACAATAAAAATTACATTTTGGTAACAACAAAAGTCCCTGGGGTTTGCACCAAGGCTTGGAGAGCTAAGTTATGTTCTAGAGCTTCCAAGTCTAAAGAAACCTTAAACATGACTGTATTAGTGCCTTTCATTATATTTCTGCAATACAGTTTGGAAAAAAATCTAGCTGGGGAGCCGGCGAGTTGGAAAGCAAACGAATCAAACACACTATTATTGTGGCTTTTCAGAACATTTCCAACATATTTGTGCTATTAATTTATTCACTAGATTTATAGCTTGATTTTCCTTTAGGACAGATTTTGTTTTTCAAATTTCCAGGTATGTGGACTTCATTTCCCAGCATTCATAGCAATCATAATGCTGGCTGGAGAATTCTGGGAGGTGCAGTCTTCACATCCAGGGGGAAGGTATCTCCAGTCTGCTCTAGGTACTCAAGACAGAATAAGTACCATTCTCTCCTTCAGTGTCGCCCCATAACAATAATTTTGTGATGTAAAATTGGGCTGACAGACTTGCTTATCATAAACAGGATTTCCAGATTTTCAAGTCATTGCTCATATAGACAAAGGACGAAGAATATTTTCACTACCAACTAGAAAAATGTTCTGATTTGTAAAGACAAGTCACTTTTTTTGCTGATGCACAAATTACCAGCTGTGAAAAATTATGTTTTCATCTGTCTAGAGAAAGCATAGGTATCCTGTGACTTATGGGATGATGCCTCCAGCTTTACTGCTCCTTATTTTGCATCTCAGAATCCTTCAACTGTATATCAAGGATCTCCATAAACATTCTGGAAAAAAACTAATTATTCCTAAATTAGGTCTTCCCCCCCCAAAAAAAACTAGTCCTGCTCCCCTAGTGAGATTTTATGTCACTGCCAGGCCTACTATGGAAGCCGTATTGTGATTTTCCAGCCCACAACCACAAAAACATTGACCATCCAGCTCAGCCTTTATAACTGAGGGTTAGATGTAGGTGTTCGGTGTGCCAGCAGCGTAAGTGAGCAAGGTGACAACTGGTTTGGTCATGGCAGAATTTGGAAATATCTACAGTAAAGGCAGAAAAAGAAAACACGTTTTCTTAAATCCTCTCCAATTTTTGTTTTCAAAAACTTCACTTCAATTTATAAAATCAAAGGCAGTGAAGGAATAGCTCTGGATAAAGCAGGATATAGTCACATTGCAATTCACAGCAAAAAATAAGCTCCACTAAACACAATGCAACTTATTCCCATGTAAACATATCAAAAATTCTATATCAAGCAAGTCTTTTATAAATTAATATCAGTCTTTCATCTCTAATAACTTTTAATCTTTTCTCTTTGGGGCTTTGTGAAAGTCAGTCTATGCTTGCACGCAAAGACAAGCAATGGTTCCAGAGTGAAGTTTTTGTTATCTTTTTATAGTCATGCCTTTTTATATTTCTTTCAAGGGAACTGTTTATAGATTGGCTGATTGCAATAGTTTGCAGAAGGAGATTGCTTATCAAAGCAGAAACACAATGTCAAACGACTAAATATTTTTTTATTTAAAATATTTCTTTCTACAGTATTTCTATCCTGGATTTTTAGAGTGGTCTCAGTAAAATGTTGTTTAACCTCCTCCTTCCTGAAAAAAAAAATGTTGCATAATAAAAACAGGAGGCTGCATGCTTTGTTACTAAGGATCTCAAGTGAATGTTCAAAACTGTTGCAGTGGCCAACTGTACGACACCTGCTGCCACAGGCTGGCCTGTGGTTAAACTGCCAACAGCATAGAGGGGAGCAGAAGTCTCAGTCATGACTCACCCCTCAAAACTCTGCTTAGTACATCTGTTGCAGGGCAGGAGAGTATGTGGGATCTGAAGCAGAAGGAATGGCCTGCAATAGTTAAAGTTCAGCTTTTTTTCCAGTGACCCAGCATCGATTAAGCAGTGGCTCAAGCTGGAATCTTTTCAGAAAGGAGGAAAGGAAAAAGGCATAAAGAGAGCTGGATTTGCAAATGTTTCTGCTCCATGCCCAATGCACAGCCTTTAGTTCTAAAATACCAAATGCAAGGTACAGCTCTAAAAGCTGTCAAAGGGGCATCAATAATCAGTGTCACCTTCAAAGCTGCTATGTGCAGCTCTCCTGCCATGTCCCCAATTAGCTTTGTTGGCTTACTGCCATGGAGGACAAAAGAGACATCTGAATGTATTAATACACAAAAGCCTTTCAAGTGTCCTCCCACACCATTGCCATTAGATAAAAGAATGTGTTGGTCTTCAAAGAGTGCATGGTGGTTCAGGAGAGACATGCAAGAATGCAAGCCGAAGATAGGATTCTTTAAAGAGGGGGGGGAAATGGATCCAGGAAACTACAGACTTATCAGCCTGACCTCAATACCTGGGAAGATTCTGGAAAAGATAATCAAACAACGAATCAGCGAACACCTAGAGGCAAACAAAATCATTACTAAAAGCCAACATGGGTTTGTCAAAAACAGATCATGCCAGACAAATCTTATCGCATTCTTTGATGAAGTGACAAAATTAGTGGATCAGAGAAATGCTGTGGATATAATTTATTTGAACTTCAGTAAGGCATTTGCTAAAGTAGATCACAGCCTACTACTTGATAAGATAGAAAAATGTGGGTTAGACAGCATCACCATCAGATGGATCCGTAGCTGGCTGACCCGGCCATACTCAGCATGTGGTCCTCAATGGAACTGCATCTACATGGAGGGAAGTGTGTAGTGGGGTGCCCCAAGACTCTGGGCCCGGTGCTCTTCAACATCTTCATCATTGATTTGGACGAGGGGATAGATGGGGAAATCATCAAATTTGCAGATGATACCAAGCTGGCAGGAATAGCCAACACTCCAGAAGACAGGCTTAGGATACAGGAGGATCTGAACAGACTTGAACACTGGGCGCTATCTAACAAAATGCAATTCAATGGTGAAAAAAGTAAGGTTCTACATTTAGGCAAGAAAAACCAAATGTACAGGAATAGTATAGTATAGGTATAGTATACCTTGCTCAATAGTAGTAACTGTGAGAGGGACCTCAGAGTCCTAGTGGACAATCACTTAAATATGAGCCAGCAGTGTACTGCAGCTGCCAAAAAGGCCAACACAGTGCTGGGCTGCATTAACAGAGGGATAGAATCAAGATCACGTGAAGTATTAATACCACTTTACAATGCCTTGGTAAGGCCACACTTGGAATACTGTATATAGTTTTGGTCACCACGATGTAAAAAAGATGTTGAGACTCTAGAAAAAGTACAGAGAAGAGCAACAAAGATGATTAGGGGACTGGAGGCTAAAACATATAAGGAATGGTTGCTGGAATTGGATATGTCTAGTTTAATGAAGAGAAGGACAAGGGGGGACATGATAGCAGTGTTCCAATATCTCAGGGACTACCACAAAGAAGGGGCAGTCAAGCTATTCTCCAAAGCGCCTGAAGGCAGGACAAGAAACAACGGATGAAAACTAATCAAGGAGAGAAGCAACCTAGAACTAAGGAGAAACTTCCTGACAGTTTGAACAATTAACCGGTGGAACAACTTGCCTCCAGAAGTGGTGAATGCTCCAACACTGGAAGTTTTTAAAAAGAGACTGGACAGCCATTTGTCCAAAATAATATAGGGTTCCCTGCCTAAGCAGGGGGTTGGATTAGATGACCTCCAAGGTCCCTTCCAATTATTATTATTATTATTATTATTATTATTATTATTATTATTATTATTATTATTATTATTACGTTTCTATCCACAGTGTATATGTACATCTTATGAAAATCAGGAGGGTTTATTTTCATATGATTGCTCAAGAAAAAAAAATCGAGCGTCTAGAACCCAGAAGGCATCGTGCATTGGAGAACCTGTTCTATAAAGTTCTAGAACCTACCACAGGCAGTGCTTTTTTTCTAAAAAAAAAAAAAAAAGAAGGTGCCAGTATTCACACACATCATACAACCCGCCTTGCCTACCCTACAAGGTTCCATCCAAAAAAGATGCCGGAATTCCATTCTGGGCGTTCTATGAGAAAAAAAGCCCTGACCACAGGTATAGCATAGTTGTACCTGTGCTATAAAGTTCTAGTTCACAAAAAGTTCTAGAACTCTAGATTTCCCTTTCCAGCAAGCATTGTCCAGCTCTTCAAGTGTAGAAATGAAGATTGCTAAACTGTCATGCCGAAGTGCTTCTGTAAACTGCTGAAAGGGGATTGCCTGGGTGAGTGAAAAAGACAAAACAAGCATTTTTAAAAAATAAATACCAAAATGCAGAAGGGCTCTTTTTCGTTACATTTTTCTTGTAAAATAATATAGCTTCTGCGCATATGGTAGACAATCAGTGTGCCTTTTGTATGATGTTGACTCAAATGTTCATATTCTTGCTCTAATCCAGGTGTCTAACTTGTGGTCCGTGAGCTGCATACAGCACTGAACAGATAGTAATGCAGCCCCACAACAAGAGCATAAACGTTTAACATTTAAATGTGATTTATATACATTAATTATGTGTTTTATACTGTATATAATATCTAGAGTCCATCAGGTTGTTTATGTCTGCCTTTTCACCAACAATCTGAGCTTGTTTCTAACCTTCTTGAAACTCCTCACTATTAGCCTATGGAGGGGAGAATACAATTTTTGATTGAACTCTAAAATCAGATCTGCATAAAGGTGAAATCCAATTAAACCTTTGCTTTTCCGGCATTGTTGTGTTTGTATGTATATAACAAGAAGGATCCGTTTTTTTTATTATAGCATGAAAATATTGTAAAGGTTTAAGGAATACTAGGTATGTTTAGGAAGTAAACAAAGGGGCAAAAATACATAAATATATTTTCAAATATACAGCATTTTCTCAAGTGAGAATAAAGAAAAGAAACATGTGAAACTTTGGCTGTGTATAGATGTAAGGTAAGAAGGAGAAATATCACTTCTATAGGTTATCTGGTTTGAGGATCATTTAAGAAACATTTCATAAAGCCTGTTCAATGGTATCACATTGAAGGAGGGTTCTCATGTTGTTTCATCCTAGCAAATACTTATAATTCCTTTACAGCTTTTTGTCCCTGAGGAAGAATATCACAAAACTGAAGTCCAAGGGGAAAGCAACTCAGGTTTTAATACATGCCCCACCACAGAAGGTGTGTAATAATTCATTCCTTTGGTCAATGCTTTGTCTGTTGATTACAGATGTTTTGTGTTACTTCAATCACCAGGATTCTAAGCAGTTCACAGCAGCAATATAATCCATGAAACTATGACTACACAAGCATATTTAATAGTCACAATACTCTAATTATAAAACCAATGTTATACATATATATACATACATATACATATACAAACTTAAAAACCACTAATCAGGTTTCTCCACCTATTCACAGGCTATTCACTACCTATTTAAGGTTTCCCAACCCTTGAAAAGTAACATGATAAGATGTGTTATATCATGGTTAAGATGGTGGATGTGGACTGTTTGGGGGATGGTGTTTTCCAGAATCAAATACTACCCATCTGTGTTCTTTGCTATATCCATTCTTTCTCAGCCCAGCTTACATGACAGGATGTACAGAAAAACTATGAGCAGAGTTTTTCAGATTGCTCATTAACCCCAAAATATTTATTAGATTTTATATACATACATACATATATATATACATAATTTAATAAATACTACTTTAATTAATAGTACTGCAAATACTAATAAGCACCTTAAGTGCAATCCCAAAACAATTGGAGCCTTACCTGAACACAACTCGCATTGAGAAAATCACTATCAGTCAATTACAAAAGACAGCTTTACTTGGAACAGCTTACATCCTGCGATGGTACCATCAAACAACATCTGCCTATCCCAGGTCCTTGGAAAGGATTTGATATGTGGTTAAAAATGCTGGCTGATTGTGTGACCAAATATAATCTACCTTTTGACTAGTCCCATCAACCCTTGTGAATCAATATCGACCATATTGGGTGACCCTGATATGCACCATCTTAATTTCCCAAATAAAATAGCTACATGTGATAAATAAAATTTAAATGGAGACATTTCAGCGAGAAGAACTAGCTCTTGCTTTGAATGGATTTGATGTTGAAATTGGGTTACAGAGCAGTGGATGAAATTACTCTTCATCTTCACCCTCTTTGTTACCTTAGTCATGTTATAGATGGAATATGCTGATGACTGTCTAGCAGCCAAACAGGGTCTTGTTGAATTTTTTTTCAATAAGTTAGTGCAGATGCTACTTGATAAATTTGGAGGCGTTTAACCTCCACTTCCTCTCTGACTCCTGTTGTCATTACTTCTAAAGAGTATGGTGACATCAGCACAGCCGCAGACTTCATTGTTGTGCCTCAAATCCTGCCCAGATCTCGGCCAAATCAGTATCTCATGCACTTCCTTCATAACCACTCAAAACACTAGTAACAACATGTTGTCCTTTCCTCTTCTGTTTAGAAAATCTCCTTTCTTGCCTACCTGTTTAGGTGCAAATATAGATCAACTCCTATCTAGTGCCATTAAACTGAAACTGAACTAACTGACATCTCTTAGAAAATGTCTGTATGATGTGTTACCCTTTAACCCCATTAACATTAATAAAATAAATTGTAAATATAAGTAAATTGAAAAATAAACTGTAGGAAAGAAAAGAGGAAGGAAGCATTGATATACAGTACAGGCATGGAATTCTACAAAATATGGAGCCAAGCCCTAGGGAAGAGTATGGGTGCAGCTCAAATGTCTTTTTTTTAATTAGTTTTATTCATTTATAACATAAAATGTGAAAATACAAAAGCAAATAGTAGGGGACAACAGTAGAAAAAGGGGAAACAAAAAGGGTGTGAAGAAGGGAGAGGACAAACAAAAGACATTGACTTCTGACTCTCTCTGTTGCAGTAAAATCAGACATTAAAATCAAATCTCAACTTTTTACATTTGTATAGTAGTATGCACTAGCCATTTCTGTATCGGCAAATCAGTCTAATCGGTAAAACCCAAAATCATAATATCATTTTTTTTCCACCTCAAGCACAAAGTACAGAAGCGGTTTCCAAGTAGAAACAAAAGTACTTATGTTCTTTTCTTTTATCAGCATAGCCAATCTGGCCATCTCTGCTAATTTCATCAGCTTTTGTAACCATTCGTCCATGGTAGGAATCGAGGCATACTTCCACTTTTGTGCATAGAGCTATCTTGCTGCCATCACCATATATAAATTCAGCGTTCCAATTTTTTTTCCAGTTCTCTTTCCATTAGGCTCAGAAGGAAAGTTTCTGGTTTAATCTTTATATTCACTTTAAGAATTTTCTGCATTAATATATGAATCCTACTCCAATATTTCTTTGCCTTATCACATATCCACCATAAATGATAAAAAGTCCGTTCTTTACATTTACATTTCCAACATTCATTTGAAATACCTTTATACATTCTAGATAACTTATCGAGGACAACCTGTACTTCATCACTTTTTTCTTTTTTGGGGGGGGGTCATCAAGTTTTTTTGACACCTTGCTAGGCGACTGGTGGTACTCGGACGTTGCCGTATCCTAAAAGTGGTACAATGGGTGAAAAGGTTGAAAAGCCCTGACCTAGAGTCATCACTGGGTGAGAGGGGTGGCATATAAATTTAATAAGTAAATAAATTTCTCTCCTTCTGTCAGTTATCTGAATAAGACTAGTTATGTGGAGCTCCGTCTGGTACTCTGACATTTGGACTTTCACAATGATGTTCTGGAAATCCCTGTACTTCTCTGAAAATTTATAGAATTTCCTCACTATGTTCAGAAAGAGAGCACCAACTTCCCGCCCCCATAGAGTAGTTATAATGTTTTGGTCCCCTGACAGCTGATTGGGGAACTCTAGAGCAGGACTTTTCAACCTTTTCACCCATTGTACCACTTTTAGGATATGGCAACATCTGAGTACCACCAGTCGCCTAGCAAGGTATCAAAAACCTGATGACCAAAAAAAAAAAAGGAAAAAAGTGATGAAGTACAGGTAGTCCTCGACTTACAACAGTTCGCTTAGTGACTGTTCGAAGTTACAATGGCACTGAAAAAAGTGCCCCCCAAGCCACAGTCGAGCAAGACACCTGCCTGCCCGCCTGACCGTGCTCTTCCTCCTGTCCGAGGTTTCCATTGTTGTGAGCATTTCTGTTGAGGATTGACAGTGGGGGTGGGGTGAGGAGGTGTTTGGTTTTTATTCCCCTCGTCTGCTGGTGGTTGCAGCAGGTTTTGGTCACTTCACATGATCCTGGGACACTGTGACCGTCATAAATATGAATCAGTTGCCAAACATCTGAATGTAAATCACAAGACCCTGGAGATGCTGCAACATTCCATATGATCGGCGCTTCTTCTGGGCTCAGCAGAAGCACCAGGATCAGTGCTGCTTTCCAGCTGATTGGTGATTCTTCAGGGTTCAGCAGAAGCACCAGGATCAGCGCCAAGCTCCAGGTAAAGCCTGGTGCTGATCCTGGCACTTCCACTGAGTCCTGACAGCCCCAAAGAAGCATCAATCAGCTAGAAAGCAGCACTGATCCTGGCACTTCCTCTGAGCCCTGAGAGCCCCAAAGAAGTGCCAATCAGCTGGAAAGCGGCACTGATCTTGGCGCTTCTGCTAAGCCCTGGCAGCCCCAAAGAAGCGCCAATCAGCTGGAGCTGGCACTGATCCTGGCGCTTCCGCTGAGCCCTGACAGTCCTGCAGCTCCAGCCATCTCTCACTCAGGCTTGTGCGGTGCTGCCACCGGTTCAGCTCATTCCCCTCCCCCACTACCACTTTTCTAGGATGGTCACATACCACCTGCCAGGTGCCAATGTACCACAGGTGTTACCTGTACCACTGGTTGAAAAGCCCTGCTCTAGAGTATATATCAAAATCTCTTTCATGTTCAAGAGTTCTTTATAAACAAACAGTAAAGGTAGAAAGTGTGCTTCAATTCACTCTTCATCTCATATTCTCCTTAGGGACATCTACAAAAGGCTGTCACATGAAGAAGGGAGCCACAGAATTCAGGAGAACATTGAGTGAACAACAGTCTCCTTGTTGATGTGTCACAAGAGCAAAATGAATTAAATTCCTGTTCTGCCGTGTGCAAAGTAAAACCAAGTAAAGCTCCCCCACCCCCAATTTTTTTTTTTACCTTTACCAATAACTGCCTCTTGCAAAGCTCAGTCATTCACATTTGTAACAGTGGTCTTCACCCACAAAGGGGGGTTAGATCTAATTGTTATTTGCAGGAAAATCGACCAACGTTACGTGTTTTGAAAACCTTTGTTGATTTGAGTCTTGTACCATTGGAAACATTAATTATTCTAGGATGCCAAGATCTTGATTTTAAGAAATGGGAAAGAACTAATTCTTAACTAAACATGCTTACTCAGAAATCCCACTATGGGCAATACTTTTTAAAAATAAGAATGCTGAGTTTTGCAGCCTTGAGTTACATTTATGCCAAGTTCACTTGACAAACAGGACAGGTGCAGCACAACACTCAATTTGGTTACTAGATTAATGCATGTTTTCAGTATATTTAATTTATGATTGAGCAAGTCATATAAAGATACTGGATTTGAACAATATGCCAAATGTATTTGATTAATAAATAAATATATAAACCATTCCCACTCAATCTCCCCACTAAAGTTAATATTAGATAACCTTATGTTGTTACAGACATAACAATTGTGTCTCTAATTGCCCTAATGAAGCATGTTACGTTGCAACCAGGGTATCATAAACTATAAAATATTTTGGCCTAGCATGTTGTACATATTCATTGTGTAGACTTAGTTTATAGTCCACCATGTTGCATAAACTGGAACAATGGGTTTGTTGACTAATTTTATTTGTTTTGTATATATATTCCAAGGGAACTTTCAAACAATGGAGTAGTAGTACTTGGGGGACAAAAGGAATTGTCTGCCAATCACATTATGTTATCACTATTTGGGGCAGTTGGGCTCAACAGTCTATTCCAGTGGTGTTGCATCTGTCATTGGTTTTTTTTAAAAAGCTTTTATGACCTTCAGTTCATGCCAATAGATTGTTGCCTTTTGTAAGAAGGAACAGTCTATACATAGTTTGGTAGAGTTCTTGGCTTTCTTGATCTTCCAATTCCTGCAAATCCATTGCAACAGTCTATTGCTATGATTATGAAATGAGCCCAAATGCATAACTGCCAGCAGAAAAACACTGAGGAGTTAAGAAAGTAATGAAAAGTTGCCACCAGGGTGATCACAGAAGCATGGGAAAAGATAAATAACATGGAATCTTCTCTGCAAAGAGAAGGAAAGCAAAGACCTGGAACAGGGCAGGGGACACCCTGTTCATATAGCAAGCAATGATTGGCCAATCATTCTCTGCATTAGACAAATAGGGCAAGCACTAGTGGGGCAAGCACTGGCCCAAGTAGGTCTAGTGTTCTTTCATAAAGTCTAAACAAGCTGGGGAATTCATGCTAGCTGGGGGAATTTGGGGAGTTGAAACCCACACATCCTAAAGTTGCCAAGTTTGAAAAAAGACCTGCTCTAAACTAATAAAAACAGCATTTTTATTGTGTCCTGGTGAGTAAATGGATTGTTAACAGACAAAAAAAAGCTCTGATTATCTTAGATACTTTTTTAAATTAGATTCAGAAGAGAAGGAAAATGGAAAGGCTGGTTATTTAATAGAATCCTTAGACTTACAACACCTAAGGCTGTAATAAGAGTGCCACTGAATGAGACAGTGAGTGTGTGTGCACAGATGTATCTTTCCTGCTATGATCTCTGGTCAAAGCGACTCTAGATTTTCACATTAATCTAAGAGGAATTCTGGGAAGGTCTGCATTAGGTAGCAGCACATAACTAATCTTGGATTGAGCTCAAAAAACTAAACAGAGTAAACTTCATTTATACTGAGATAAGACCAGAAAACCCCAGTCTATAGATTAGATGAGACTGGATTTTTTTTTAAATCATTCTGGAAGAAGGCACTACAAATCATTCTGTATTGCTGCCAATGAAACTGCATAGACATGTTTATGTAGTCATTAGGAGTTGAGTTCAACTCAAGTGAGATTTGGTTTTAAGTTTCAGAACCTAAATTACCCTGTACAATACTCCATTCACTTCTTGCAGAAGGATGACATCTTGAAACTGAAGACTGAAACTGAAACCCAAGGTCAGCGTATTTCAGCCACTTGGGGCATCATTTGCTGATGGGTTGAAGCTGTGGCAGGAACCATCCTTGTAGTTTAAAGGCTGTCAGAAGCAACTTCCGAGAGCACTCAAGTTTCGAATGTGCAAGTCTGGCTTGTATATACTGTACATAACTAGATCACTGCCAGACTATGCTTGTATTCTGCCTATTCTTCCTGGACAAACTGGAAGTTCTGAAGCCTTGGATTGCATGCATCTATGAGGCATCACCCATTCGAACCAGTTTCCATGGACAGATAGTCCTTGTTGTGATTCCTCGCCAGCCAATGGACCTGGCAGCTGAGTCAGAGGAATCAGAGGAGGAGGAGGAGGGACCTGGAGTGACATCAGAGTCAGAGGAAGGCTCTGAGGAGCTCCAGGACTTACAGTCTGACGAGGAGCCTGGCCCCTCTACTCGCGCTCAGGCTGAGACAGAGCTGTGCTGGGAGTCTGAGTTGGACAGTGATGACTCACAGCTGAGAGCTATCCAGGATGCATGTAAGAAAAGAGAGTCAGACAGAGGAATGCAATAGGGCGGCTCCAAAGGCAAAGGAGAAGCATTAGGAAGCCTTGGCTGCATAATAAAAAGGAAGGTGTGGGAGGTGCTGGTTGCCAAAGGCAACCGTTTGTGTTGAGGATCAAGTTTCTGTGAGCTGTGTTTTGTTTGCCTTGGACATGGACTCAGGTCTGTGAATAATAAAAGGGAATTGATTTTTTCCTGTGGTTCCAGCCTGCTTGTTGGAAGAAGGATTTCTCCTTGTGAGCTTAACAAGGACTCATGTAGGCTGGGACAGAACAGTCCTTGACTTACAACAGTTCATTTAGTGACTGTTTGAAGTTAAAACGGCATTGAAAAAAGTGAGTTATGGCCATTTTTTAAACTAGTGACCATTGCAGCATCCGCATGGTCAAGTGATTTATGTTTGGATGCTTGACATAAAATGGGTCAAAACTCACTTAACAGATTTCTCACTTAGCAACATAAATTTTGGGCTCAATTGTGGTCATAAGCTCAAAACTATCTTTTAACTAAAATGGCTTTTTTTGCTAAACATATACTTTCAGATGTAAAGTGGTGTCCAATTTTATTCTAGATGACAAACAATTGAGATCAGTTATTTGGGAAATGCGGCTTCAATTCATCTGCAAGCCTGTTTACACATATTGGAGTATTTACTTGCAATTTGTATGCTTTGATGACATTTTACTAGTGCAACAGTTGGCCTCTCAGCTATTAAGCACACTATGTGGGAAGTTGCTAGTGTAAGGGAGTTAAGCTGGAGTATTTGTCTACATTTCAGAAAAGCAGCTGCAGCTGGGCAGGAACACTTCCTGTCTTGACTTCCCCAAGGATAGATTCAGCTCATCCCTTCTCCCAAAGGGTTGTAAACATATACCACCCTAGACATTTGAGAGAAGGTGGAGTTATTCATCCATTCCCCCTCTTCACAGTTTACTCACAAGCATCCATACCAACATTCCAGGTATCTAGGGAGACACATCCTGGTATTTTTAGGAACATGCAGATGTCCATAGGTAGCTTCTCCCCAACTGAGTGTATATGAGAGAAAGAGAAGAATACCACAAACAGACAAAGTAGGGAGCAACTATTACAGGCAAGCAAAAGAGCTATTTCACTCAAATGCCAGGACTACAAACTACAGTAAACAGCCCACTCTGGAGTGATTCCTGGCCAGAGTTTGGCTTAGAGCAGTGATGGCGAACCTTTTAGAGACGGAGTACCCAAACTGCAATCCAAAACTCACTTATGCATCGTTGGGTGCTGGGTGGGCATGGCCCATTGGGTGGGCATGGCTGCGGTGGTAACAGCAGACCAAGTGGGACTAAAAAGTTCAATCAATCAATTCCAACTTTGTGAGATCTTTTTTTTTCCCATGAGAAGTTGAAATTGATTGTTTGCTTGAACCTTTTTTTTTTTTTTTTTGCACACGGTGGCGGAAGCCTAAAGCGAAAAGGTTTTATAAAACCCAGCTGAAGGCCTAGAACTGGGGCGATGGTGCATGTGCCCATAGAGATGGCTCTGCGTGCCACCTGTGGCACACGTGCCATAGGTTCGCCACCATGGACTTAGAGATTGGCCTAGAGCTTGATAGAAACCAAAAAGAAGCAATGATGTTAAAATGGCATGTAATTCCAACCAATGCAAGACCTTTTGGAGGAAGGTAAGGTATATGTCACTTTACAGGTTTTTGTTTCTTTTAAGGACTGAGTAATAAAGATGTATTTCTGTGATTGCATCAATTTGCCAGGCTCAAGAGGATGGAGTTAACCCAGAGCAACATCCTGTTGTTAGGGAAGGCGTGTGCCACAATAAGGAGTTTCTGTACAGTTATCTGCCACACTGCAGTGTGTCGATTCTTGGAAAAGGAAGAAATTTCACCATAAGATTGGATCTTCAAGTCTTACAAAGCAGCTTCTTCTCTAGCTATTTTTCCTGAATCTTTAGTAAGATTGGAATGCCAGTGCTCCCTCAAATATTGTACTAATATTTGCAGTCTCTGTAAAAATCTGTCAGCCTAGCTGAGGGTAAGTCTCCAGAAGTTGCTGCTCCCTAGAAGTCAGTGGCCTCTAAAGCTTGAGTTTCATCTTGCAATCCAATGAAGACAGCAGCTATAGACAATATATACAGGAAAAATAAGCGGTAATGACCAAATCATGAATCAGTGGTTCTTATCAGATGTGTGTTGTACAGAGAAATAGTGCTGGAGAATGTTAGATCATCCAATATCTTTTTTTCTTCTCCTCATTGTGGGCATTGAGTACCAATAGCAAAACAGCAGGAGCATCATAAGTTCAAGATCTTGCCAGGCTCCATTCTTCCAGAGATGTGAAATTACAGCCTATATAGCACTGAGATAACTTATTTTCCAAATATTTGTCTTTTCTCCTTTAAAGGTATTGATTTACTGGCCATTTTCTGGCAGAAGATATCATAAAAATTATGTATGTTCCCATTCCCTCCCCCGACCTTCCCAGAGCTGAATATAGGTTTAATTAAAATTTCATCAAAAAATCTTAAAAAAAGATATAAACCATAAATGAATCTAACATTAGTTAGAAATCTAAATACATTAATTAGAAAAATTATAAAATAATTAACAATAGTATATATATATAAAAACATGAATACAAAAAATAAATGCTTAAAAAGGAAAAGAATAAAAGAAAAAAAAGGGGAAAAAGAAGAACAAAAAAAAGAAAAAAAAGAAAATATTCCATTTTAAATATAAATTGTTAAAAAACTAAGTAATATTTTTATATCCAACTTATGTTGTATAAAATCTATCCATTTTTTCCATACCGCAACATACTTCTCTTGCGATTGATCCTTCAAGAAAGCCGAAATCTTTGCCATTTCCGCCAAATAAGAAACTTTAAGAAACCACTCTTGCAAAGTAGGCAAAGATGGGAGGGTTGGGGAGGTTGGGGGGAAGATTGTTTTGTTTTTGTAAAATTTCAAAATTTAATAAAAATTATCTTTGAAAAAAAAATTATGTATGTGAAACATTACGGTTTAGGATTAGGTGTTAGAGTTTTGGATTTGGGGGGAGTCAATAATCAATAGTTCCTGGGAAGAAAAAAAATAGGAATAATGCAATATGCAACAATGTGAGCTCTTACAAAAGACCAGTGAGTTTACTACTAACAAATTGCACTGGATGACCCTTCACCCCAAGTTTTTGAATAATAAAAAGAAGATAAATTACTTTCATTCAGTTTCTATTTCGCTTCTTTGCATCTCTTGGTATCTTACCCAGCCCCAAAATAGAACTTGCCTCTGTAACTAGTTTATAAATTGCACAAAACAAAAGAAAACCAAAAATATGAATTTGTTTCTTTAAACATCTGCACCTATGAATGATTTACATATACCATTTTATGCATCTTGCAGCTGAAGTTAAACAGATTGATGCTTTTATTTTTAAAATGGGAATGCTTTATCAGCATTCACATCTCAAGTTATTCAGTTCAGCCAGAACTGAAGCCCTAACATCTGAAGAACCCTGGACATTCTTCTGAAGTTGAACACTTTGAAATACAGGTGGCAGAAAGCAGTTAAGATAAGTGACTTTAAATATTCAAAAGATAACTGACTACAATAATGCAAGAGACACTGAGACCTGTTTCATCTGAGGATTGAAGGCGGTTTTTGATAACTGATCCTCGTATATTAAAAAAAAGATTATGCCTTGGGAAGTATTCTTTGATTTTATTATTAATAAAGCTGTATCTCCAATAGCACCTTTTTGGTTCCCAGTTCTCCTTAACTTTGTACTTTGCCATAAATGGTGATAAAAAGTGAGGATGTAGACTATTTGCATATAACAGCCAAGCTTTGACTGATTTAACCATTAAAAGGATCATGTCGTAGTTTATTCCATCTATCTTTGGCTTAATCGATCAGACCCCCAAATGTTTGATGGAACCCAAAGTCCAACAACTGTATACTGTAATGCACTAGATGAGGAAGGCTTATAAAATGTGAACGAGGAGCATAATGAGGAGATGGTTTCTGAAACTGACAGGAAAAGTTGCGATTCAGTTCTTACTATTTAAAATTGTAAACTGCCATTGCATCACCAAGACAAGGCAGTTGGCAAATATAATCACATGTTCTTTGTATATCTTTAGCAACCTTCACCACCAATACAATGCTCTCTGGAACTACTTGTCCTGATGGAATAATGATGATGTTGGAAGGGACTTTAGAAGTCATCTAGTCCAACCCCCTGCTCAGGCAGGAAACCCTATACCATTTCAGACAAATGGCTGTCTTCTTAAAAACTTTCAGTGTTGGAGCATTCACTGCTTCTGGAAGCAGGTTGTTCCACTGGTTAATTGTTCTAACTGTCAGGAAGTTTCTCCTTAGTTCTAGGTTGCTTCTCTCTTGGATTAAGTTTCCACCCGTTGCTTCTTGTCCTGCCTTCAGGCACTTTGGAAAATAGCTTGACTCCCTCTTCTTTGTGGCAGCCCCTGAGATATTGGAACACTGCTATCATGTCCCCCCTCGTCCTTCTCTTCATTAAACTAGACATACCCAATTCCAGCAACCATTCCTTATATGTTTTAGCCTCCAGTCCCCTAATCATCTTTGTTGCTCTTCTCTGTCTCTTTCTAGAGTCTCAACATCTTTTTTACATTGTGGTGACCAAAACTGGATGCAGTATTCCAAGTGTGGCCTTACCAAGGCATTGTAAACTGGTATTAACACTTCACGTGATCTTGATTCTATCCCTCTGTTAATGCAGCCTAGCACTGTGTTGGCTTTTTTTGGCAGCTGCAGCACACTGCTGGCTCATATTTAAGTGATTGTCCACTAGGACTCCAAGATCCCTCTCACAGTTACTATACAGTTACCACCTATACTGTACTTATGCATTTGATTTTTCTTCCCTAAATGTAGAACCTTACTTTTTTCACCATTGAATTTCATTTTGTTACTCCACCTAGTAGGACTAATATTTTTATACCAAAGTGGGCTCATCAAATTGTTCTAGTTTCTCTCTCCCAGGAAGCAATGGAATTAGGAAAAGATCCCAACAAATTGTTGCTTGTTGTTGCCTACAGGGATCAGAATCTTTCTCACTTTTAGGGTGAAAATAAAGTTGTGTATGGATTTCCAGATGCTGTTGCACAGCAATCCTTATTGGCCAGGTTAGAACTTGGTTAGAACTGATTGGGATTAGAACGGGAGTCCCCAACCCCCGGTCTGTGGACCAGTATTGGGCTGTGGCATGCCAGCAACTGGTCCGCACAAACAAGCAAAGCTCCATGCAGGCAGCACACAAAACCATGCACTCTCCGATCCATGGAAAAACCTTTCTCCATGGAACCGGTCACTGGTACCCAAAAGGTTGTGGAACTCTGGATTAGAACTTCTAGAGACCTGTTGCCCCTCTGGTAGTACCACAAAGGCATGGAGGGAAAGGAAGGATGAGCCTTTCTGCTAGCTTATGACATTCTGCTGCATGTTACGGTTTTCAATGTTATAAAAAGACAATTATGCCCCAGACAAAACAATTGTGCCTTCTTCCTGAGTGAAAGTTTGTAGGATCAACCAAAGTGAAGGAGGGTCCAATAAAATTCTTGATTTCACATAAATATTTTAATAACATTTCAAATACAAGAACATAGTATAACACTTATCCAAATACATGTTAGAAAGAGCTATTGCATTAGAATACGGTGGTAGAACTCTTACAAATCTCTGCATTCCTCTCTTAGTCATTAGTGATACAACACAATCAGAGAGGCTGCAACACAGAAGGGAAGAGCCCTTTCTCTACTCATATTCATTCATACAGACTTACTGAATCATACAGAAATAATCTGTGGGCCAAAGTGCAGGTTTGTACCAAATACTCAGTAAATTAATCATTCAGTCTCTATGATTTAAAGTGTCCAAGAACTGAAGGATTTCCATTAATGGCACTTCATTGAACATCTCGTTGCATTTACAAAATGTATTTTTCCAGTTTTGTTTTGTTTTTTGCATCTTTTGCATTGCTAATGATAGCAATTGAAAAAGAGACAATGCTGCCACTGAGAAACAGAAATCAGAAGAAAATAAACCCGATATTATTTAGCAGTGGCAGCATTGCAAACCACAGTGCAGCCTCTGGCAACCTGGAGCACATCAATTATTTTGGGGCAGAAACTCCCACAATTTCCAGGGAGTTGTATTTCCACCATATCTGACAGCTGTAAGTTTAGAGATGACTGGCATAGCTACTACCTACAAAGAAACTGGCCAAAAGGTTCATGTGCAATATCAGCAGCCAGCTAATTGGAATGCAAACTAAAAGGTCTCAAACAGCAGGATCTAGCGCAGGTAGGCATGGTGGACCAGCAACTGCATGGTGGTCATTGGAACAAATGTAAGTAAGGACTTTGATATACCATACTTTTCTTTTTTTTACCAGCAGTTCTCTAACAAGGTTGAGGAACCACAATCTCCCCAGACATTTATTCAAATGCTTAACAGCCCAAGCCAATGGCCAGGGACAAAGGGAAATAGAATCTACTAATGCCTAGAAGCCCACAATTTCCTCAGGCATTTTCTGACGAATTGCCCAAAGACTGGGCTCTGGCTTATTGATTTGAGTTGTGGAAACTGAATTGCTGTCAATTGATGATTATAGATTCATTTGGGTCCTTTGGAGTCATTTGATTTTTTTTTTTTTTTAAGAATGAGCAGAAGTGGAATGGAAGGAATTGTTACTCATATGTATGATTGCTCTTAAAGAACTTCTTTTGGCTAAGGAAGGTTTTATCACAATCTCCTTATGTATGATCACTGTCTTTCAAGAGGATGTGGCATGGGGAAGGGGGAGGAGCTAACTTGGTTAAGAGGTATATTTTGTGGAGTTAATCACTGTATTAACACAGCCATCCACATGTACGGTATAATAAACTTCTATGGAATTGCTCTGTGTTTGCAGAGAAAATCACTTGTCAGAATACATGCATAGGAAAAAAAATTAGGTGACAGGACAGCGATAGCATTGATATATATAGATACCCGTACCACATATATTATGCCATTAACTCATTGGTATGACAGCCAAAAGTTATGCATACATCATACAGATCTGGTCTTATGTGATTTACAGTTTCCTACACAATTCAGGGAAGAATTGGATTGAGAAGCATTTTAAAAATGTTTCTTTTGAAAAGAGATGGCAGATAGTATACTATCTTGAAAACACCAAAAGGAACAGCCAGGAAAACATACAGAGACACATAGACATATCACTGCATGAACGCCCATTAGTACTTATCTGCACTTTCTTCTGCCTTGATTAACAGCAGACAAATGTAAGCATTCTGCCAGTGTGTTATGGTTGAGTTCCAAAATCTGCTGGAAAGGGCGTTGAGTGCCCACAAACACTCTTGGCCCTCTTTTTTTCATTTGCCTCTTGCAGCTGGAACCCATTATTGGGGCCTGTTGTCCTTACTGATTCTTCACCAGGTGGTTTCTTTTAGAAACTGCCAGAGCAAATGGCTTTATATCAGGCATGCACCCCCGCCCAGGCTCTGAAGGATGGGACGCTCCAAAGCATCCGTGGTCTGATTCTTTGCAAGGAGGAGAGGGGAATGTGCTCCCCCTCTCCTTTTCACTGAAGCTACAATAAACATGCATAGATATTTAACATTAGTTTTCACAGCAGTAACGGTTAACAGGGCGGGGAAGTTGACTTGCTAGATCTGAAATTTTGTATTTTCTTTGTATTTTTCTTGAATACCTAATTAGGCTGTAACTGTTAACCCAGCCTTCCAATTTTTCATCAGGAACTCTCGTTTATACAGTGGTTTCTTGTGTGCCCTAGCTTTCTTTATTTTTTTTTCCTCTGTCCCTTTATTGTAGTGGCTCTTTTGTTTGCCTTCCTGGACAAAGCAATAGAAAGACAAGACATGTAAACATAAATGTAAGAGGGGGGTTCAGAAACAAGCAGAGTCACGGTCATGCCGCCAAGCAAAATGTAGCACAGAGGCTGGCTGCTCTTGCAGATTGCTGAGGATCTATGCCATCCCTGGTGTGAGATAAATGTAAATAAAACTATTTCCAAACTGTTTTTGCTAACCCGTTAAAAAAAATGCAAAGCTTTCTTTAACATGGGCCTTTGCTTAGCACAGGATTCTTGGCATCTGCTCAATTATCGCTTTCAAGCCTTTCTTCCTTGCACCCAATTCCCAACTCCCTCTGCCTCCCATTTCCAAACTGGAAGAAAACAAAACCCAAATTCTGTGCCCAAACCTCTTGCAAATTGTACACTGCCCAGAGTCATCTGTTGAGCTGGGCAGCTACTGAACTCAAATAAATAAATTATATAAATAAATATTCATTTTTAAATGACGAGAAGAAAATAAATTAGCTTAAAAAATAAGTAACTAAGCACTTCACCCAGTTGCAAATGGTATAAGCAAAATAAATAATCTTCACCATAGGGGTGGCATCCCAGTTTATCTATAAACAAATAAGCTAAATAAGCAGATGCATTTCCCCCTTAAATTGTAAAATAAGTGTGTTATTTCCTCCATTTAGAACTGTTCTTCTTGCCAAGGTTAAAAAGTGTTGAGACTTTCCCATGGATTTCAATTGAATTATTAGCCCATTCGATATGAAGATGTGGGGATCTCTGATTATTTAATATATGCAAGAACATGCATATAACACTATTTTTCCAAATATGATTTCATTTCATTTTTTTTTTCATTTCATTTCAGCCAAAGCTGATTGAAGTAAATCATCTCAGGATTTACAAGTTAGCTTCATTGTTCTTATTTCTAAGATTCTTCCCCTGTAGTAAGAATTAGTGCTACAGGAGGTGATCCTTATGCCCAGTTTACCTGCCTCCATAAGACACAGAGATTACTATTAGCAGTGCCTTCATTGCAGGTTATTCCTCCTCAAAGAACCAGCTAGTAGAACATTTTACATTGTAGAAATCTAATGGAAAGACAATGGCTAACTGTTACGATTATACTGAAGAACAGCTTTTACTGCACCAGAACATGAGATGGGATGACACCGATTTATGTTGACAACTTCATACGTTCCACATTCCTAGGAGTTAAACCAACAGGATCATATTTTGGGTCTACTGCATAATATGCACTAGGTGAATCTGCAGTCTCAAACTCTAGATACTTTTATCAATATCTCAAGGAAGGAAGGCCTTAGGAATTGATGCTATATTTCCAAAGCCTGTTACTATATTCATTCCAATCAGTGTATCTATAAATAACCTCTCATCTTCTATCATACATTACTTGGTCCCTCAACATTGCCAATCAAACTCTGCAGCATGGGGCAGTTTCTTGGCAATAGGAGCGCTGCCAGTCTCGATTCTTGGCCTTTTTTCCCCAGCGAGAATTGATAGTCACTATCCCACAGTAGCTTGCTAACTGGCTGGTGTCCTCTTCCTGTATCTCGTGTAGGGGAAGCATTCTTCATGCACTGATGGCATTCGCAACATCTGTGAACACAAGACGACTGGGTCTCTGGAGAACACCTTGATTTGCCTACAACAAAAACAAAACAAAAAAAATGGAGAGGGGAAGAGAAATGCATGAATATTTTATCTTCATACGATTCTCCCAAGATTGCAAAGTATTGCACAATAAACATGCCACTACTGGATTAACAGAAATAAAAATCCTATTGACAGAACTATATATTTTTAAAGATGCATTTTTAGCATGATGTAAGTACAGATATTTCTCAAGTTATGACCACTGTTCAGTTATAGCAATGCTAAATGAGAAGGACTTGCACAGGTCTGCTCTGTAGCACCTGCCCACAGCACTCACCCACCCATCCACCTACCTGCATTCCGTAGCATCTTCCCATGGCACCCACCCACTAACTCATCCCTGCAGCATCCACCTGTCCTATCCACCCACCCATTTGTTAACTCCTACCTGCTGGCCAGCTTGTCTGGGATTGCTGCTCCTTCCCACATTGTGGTCATGTGAGGTCCTTGCTTAATGATCTTCATAGTCCTAGGATTATGATGGCAACTTGGATTGCCAGGATTGTGAGAGCTAAACAATGTGGTCATATGATGTCATACTTAACAACCACATCACTTAGATAGAAATTCCAGTCCCAATTGCCATTGTAATCCGAGGACCACCTGTAGTAATAAAAAAACAACTTGAAATTCATCTTTCACTCCCTTAGCAAGAAAGAATCATTCTAACAGCTGTCAAGAAGTTAGGTTGCCCACAATGCTTATCAAAGTCAATTTGAGACTTAGTTATGCTGTATTGGTACAACATGCTCATCTTGGTTAATTTTAGAGGTATTATGTGGAGCCAGTTTATTGATTACTATTAAATTTCGCATATTCATCTGAATCAGTAAATATTTCTGTAAATAAAGCTCTAAATTCATGGCTTTGGAGCTTTAGAACAGAGGATAAGGAAGAGAGGGAAAGCACGAATGTTACATAGAGATTTCCAGAAGACCTATCTAAACTAGAGTATGACTCTCCGTAGAGAAGGTCCTAGGACAGTGGTGGCGAACCTATGGCACACGTGCCAGAGACAGCACTCAAAGCCCTCTCTGTGGCACGCACGCCATGCCTTGGAGATGGCAACAGTCCCTCTTCAACCAGCCACCCGCTGACTCGCTGAGATCCCACATGGCCAGATGCATCCCAGCACCCATGCACTCACTGGCCTCTGTGTGCAAGGGCTGATGGTGTCAGGCAGCAGCCACCCCGGCCCCTGTCTCACCTTGCCCTGTGACAATAGCACCCCTGCCCTGCCTCACCTTGCCTTGCCTCGCCTCACCCAGCAGGATGAACCTCCTCCCCACCTGCCAGTTTTAATTCTAAAACTGGCAATATGAGAACAGCTGTAGCTTCAAGTCCAGGAGACAAAATCTCACCATCATCTAGTCTACAGTATCCTCTCAAACTAGTCTTCCAGATGTATAGGTTTTCAACTCTCATAATTTCAGCCTGGTGGGAATGGTTCAGTGCTCATACTGGCAGGGATTTATGAAAGCTAAAATTCAATATATCTGATAACACAATATTGCACAATTTTTCCAGGCTGAGGGCCATGCTTGTTCTTTGAATAATTTGTCAGGAGCTGAATTTGAAAAGTGAATGGAAGGAAGGTTCAGAAAAAAAAAACATTAGAATCTAATTTGATTTATGTTTGAACAATTACAATCAAATATATGGCTACTCTCCAGTCATATGTTTACTAATTGTCTCTTTCTAGCATATTCCAAATTACAATTTGTTCATAAATAAAATCTTAGAAAGACCACACCTGGAATACAGCATCCAGTTTTGATCATATTATAAAAAGATGTTGAGACTTTGGAAAAAGTACAAAAAAGAGCAACTAGGATGATTAAAGGCCTGGAGTCTAAAACATATGAAGAACAGTTGCAAGAACCGCGTATGGCTAGCCTAGAGAAAAGAAGGACAAGGGGTGACATGACAGCAGTATTCCAGTGTTTTGAGGGGCTGCCACAAAGAAAAGAGGGTCACCTTACTTTTCAAAGCACCAGAAGGCAAGACAAGAAACAATGGATGGAAACTAATCAAGGAGAGAAGCAACCTGGAGTTAAGGAGAAACTTCCTAACAGTAAGAGCAATTAATCAGTGAACCAGTTTGCCTTCAGCAATTGTGGGTGCTTCATCACTGGAGGTTTTTAAGAAGAGACTGGACAGCCACTTGTCTCATATAGAGTCTCCTGCTTGAAGAAGGGGTTGGACAAGAAGATCTCCAAGGTCCCTTCCAGCTTCTTCTGATTGATTTGGGCAGTCTTTGGGGCCACACACAAACCTCAGGATTTGAGAGTAGGAGAAATTGCCTCAGAGGTTTCACTGATAGGGAGAAAAAGTATTACCTTGCTTTGGGCAGCCTGAACAGAAGCAGCATCTCTGCCATGCTCTAGAAGTTCTTGCTCCAGCTCATCTTGTTCTTCTGCAGGATCAAAATTGTACATGGGCATGAGCTGATGTCGTAACTTTTCCAATCTACTCAGGAAAGAGAGAGGGGGGGGGATAGGGAGAGAGAGAGAGATATCCACTCCATGAAACATCAAACAAAGAGAAAATTTAAACTTTCCAGGCATTACTCAGTAACTATTTAGGAACCAAATCTCCTGAGCAAAAATCATATATCATATGCATATCAATGCATTATTACTTTTAAAGTTGGGAAGAGAAAAACAGGTTTTTTTTTTTCAAATGTGTTTCAAATGTGAAGATTTTGGAGGGAGCTTTCTAGAAAACAAAAACAAGAGATAAACAAACTGCTTAACTCATATGTACAGAACGCTTACCGTTTCCTCTTCCGAATATACAAAACCTAGAGGAAAAAAATTAGAAAAATATGATTGTTGTAAGCATTTTTTCAGCGGGATCTTTTGCATTAAATAATTGTAATGTGTACTTGAAAAAGGGAGAAGTTGTGTAGTTGTATAAGGGTCAGACCAGCTTTGGGTCTCACGTGCCCTTAGCCATGGGAGTTCATAGGGTGACCTTGAGTCAATCAATGTCTCTCAATCCACCTGAAAAGGTTGTGGGGGGGAAAGTAAGAGGAAGAAAGATTATGTTGCTTTTTGCTCTTGAACAGAAAGGCAGAATATAAAAGTAACAAGTAAATACATGTGCACAAATTTATGAAAAAAGCAATAAGGTTTGGGAAAGCATGAATTATTAGATTTATAACACTCTTCCTATACAAAAGTTCAAGATGATATTCCCTCCTGCTCTTCATCCCTACAACAGCAACTTTGTAAAATAGGCTGGGCTGAAAAAGAATGACTGGCCAAAGTCACCCAGTGGGCTTCTGTGTGGACAAGGGACTAGAACTTGCCCACACTTAATACATCTGGCTTGCTTTAATATAATTAATTGGGGGTGTAATTATGTATGGTGGACTTGCATACTGGGAAGGATGTTGCTGTCACCCAGTTCTTATTCTTAATGAGAGGAAAGGAATTATTTGGAATCTTAGCATAAGTATATTCTACTGAATAGCCAAAATCATTTAACTTAATTGTATTGCCTTTCCAAATAGGCTTTCTCACCATGGTTACAAGATAAAATGATAACAACCTAAAACGACTGATGAAAACAGTTGCCTTGAATCACTGGCATCTATAAATTAAAACTATAAAACGAATCAAACCAGAGGGACACAATCCAGCATATTGTCTCTTAAAATGGAGCCACTGCAAGAAAGTCTCTGTCTTTTTTCACAGATTTTATTGACGGGTGTGAGCAGGGCCCACCTCGTCAGTCCCGAGTAGGAGAAAACAGATGCAAGCAAGTTTTTAAATAATCTATACATCTGTTTACAACTATATCTGTTTGTTAAATCATGTACTAGTTTAACAATTATAGCAAAGGGACTATAATTCTTTGTTAAAGCAAGAACTAGATTCCTTCCACAGAATTTTTTGTAGCCTTAAGCTCAAGAGTTCAATTGGCATAAAATTTGGTAGTGACATTCCCAAACACAGTCTCAAGTCTTACCACTGCTACTGCCAACCCGATAACAGTAATGATGCCAAAGGATAACAGCATGGTTTCCATGACTGGGCCATTGCTGACCACATCTGGAATTTTGGTGCTGATAAAGCTGCTGGGTTCAGGTGTCATTGCAACAGTTTCTGATACAGTCTCATCAATGGTTGTCCCATGGTCTGCTTCAGGCCTGGTAATGCCACTGAGGTACAGATTGCTTAGAGTGGGTGTTCTATAATTCATCTTGAACCAGAGTGCTTTATTTCTTTTTGGTTTGTTTGCTTGAATGATGGTTTCAACCACAATGTTCTTCTCTTTCAGCTACGAACTCATCATTTCTCTTCTGTCAAGATGGGAAAGTTTTTTTTCTTATTATCTTTAATAGCTCTTCTAAAATGAAGTCGTGTTGACTAATGCCTAGGCATAGAAAGACAGAGAGAGAGAGAGAGAGATGGGATAATTTGCCTCCCAAATTATCTTAGTAAACATTTCTGTACCCACACCACAGATGCAAACATTTCTGTATCCACATCACAGATACAAACCTCAGGAGAAGACTTTTTGCCTAAAGTCAAGCAAATTTATTCCTGACCAAAATGAAAATTGAACTGAGGACTTCCTAATCACAACACTAACGATGTATATCCATTCTTCTGTTCAAAAGTCCTGCTGAGTTGATCTTTTCCATTCTCTTTTGCTGGACCAATGGATACCCTCCTCTTTCTAAATAAATTTTGTTTGAGGATTCAATTTAATGCCAGGGTTTGCACTAATATTACAGAATCGTGATCCTGTGCTCAACCAATAAGTAATAACTACAAAAGCTAAATGATGACAATAGTGATGACATTCCCATGTTCCTACTTTATTATTAATTATATTTCACTCTTCCTCCAAGATGTTTAGAAGAACAAAGCATCCTCACTCCTGAATTTTAATCTGACCACCCTGTGAAGCAGGACTTGCAAAAAGAAAGAAACTGCTCTAAGGTCTGTTGGGATTGTTGATGAGTGGGGATTTCAAGTTTCAAATGATCAAAGTGCTAAGAATCAGAGAAGAGACAATAAGGAATAAAGAGATCTATTATTGATATACGTCTTTTTGTCTGCAACCAAGAACAGATTAATTTTTAGGAATACTCTTAAGTGTGTGAAAATGTCCTTGAGGGACAGGAGGCAGAGTAGGAACTAGGCAACAGATAAGAAGCAGCTGAGCCCACAGAAGGAATGGGACTTAGATGGTAAAAACAAGAGGGAAGAGATGTATTTTTAAACTTGCAAGATTCTGCCACTGTACCTTATAATAAGGGTAGTGTTAGTACTCATGGTTGGTGCTTCCTGTCTGGACTATCTTTAAGGGCTGACATATGCAGTGCATTTTTTTGAGGAAGCTCTGAAGACTTTTAATATTTCCATTATGTCCTATCAGTGCATTTACAGTTATTCAAACCAAGCCAATCACTCACTGAGGAAGATATTTAACCTGCTAGGATTATCTGTATTTATAAGGTTGCTAGAGTTTAGAGGATATGACTGGGTTACTGCAAAAGTATCATCTGTGTAGGCTGGAGTGTGATTAGGGTCAGGGAAAGGGAAACAAAGGACATGTAACTGGATTTATTTTACATTATTCTATTGCCCTGATACAGATTCTGTTTCTTATTTGTTGGATTTTTAATAGATTTTAATTTTATTTTTATCTATTAATGCTATCAATATAGACAAGGGTAACTCCAGAGAGTCCAAATGACTAGCGCTGCAGCCTTCTTCCTTGGCAAATTTAAATGCCATTTTATTGTTAGGGTGATTAATTAGACATATATATATATATATATATATATATATATATATATATATATATATATATATATATATATGGTTTTAAATGCTCACTCTATTTTATTTTTTTAAAATAAGAAAATGGAACTCATGCAAAGGAAGCCTTTTTAAGGATCAAGACAGCAAAAGCAAGTTGAACAACAGAACATGCTCAGTGTATTTCTTTATCTACACAATGCAAAGCTACTTTCTTTGATTTGCTCTATGAGATCACCTGAAAAGCAGTTATAAAACACAGGATGATGAGAAAAGATGCAGTAAGGAGAAAGTAAGGCTCAGTCATACATTTTGTAACTTGAAACATGCTTACCTTAAAGTGCAGTTCTTACACACTTTATAATTTGACTCATTTATTTATTTATTTATTCAATTTAGTCAATGACTCTGGCAGCTTACAATTATGTGCCAGCAAGTCATTTTCTGGGATGATCTGTCCCCAACCAATTGTGTATCCCTCGCTGCCATAACTGAGTCCATCTATGTTGATATTGGCATTCTCTTTTTCTCTTACCTTTCACCTTTTCCAGCTTTGTAGACTTCGCAAGAAAACTAGGTTTTCACACATTGTGTCCAAAATAGGATAATATGAGTTTGGTCATTTGAGCCTTAAGCAAGAATTCTAGGTTGATTTGTCCAATAATCTATTTGGGTTTTTTTTCGTTGTTGTCCATGGCATTCTCAACAGTCCTCTCCAAACACCAAGATTCAAAAACATTAACACTATCCTTATTCTTCATAGACTCACAGGAAAAACCACTGCCTCATTAATTCTAATCTTTAAGGGAATGAACACATTATGGCATCTGAATATCTTTTCCAAGGCTTTCAATGCTACTCTTCTATGTGCTGGCTGTGACAATTTCTTGACCACTTGATTGATTCACTGTTGATTCTAAGGCTGATTATTATATCTTTTGTCATTAGTTTGGTCTTCTTTATATTTAATCATAGACTCTACAACCAATCAGTTTCACACTTTCTGTCTGGATTGTAGTTTCCTATCCTGTGCATTAATTTCTCGCGAGGACAATGAAATGTTCTGGAATTCCCATTTTCCAAAAGTAACTCTAACATTGGCATGATTGATACATGAGGGACTTTCTATGAAGCATATACTACCTTCTCTTTTGTATTTTTTGTGCATCAACAATGATGTTTCTTGTTCCTCAGCCTTTTCCAAAACCAGCTTGACAATCTGGCATCTCCCTTTCCGTATAAGATTCTAATGTTTACTGAACAATCTAAGCATTATTTTGCCAGCATGTGATGACATCATGGATGATACTGTAGCCTTGGTTACATTTTATATTTATTTCTTTGTATTTATTATCTAAAAAAATTCATTCCCATGTTGTCTCTGTCAACCATTCACAGAACTTTCAACCATGATCGCAACATCTCTTCTCACAAAAGTCAGTGCTACTTCAAACTCTTCAACTATTGTACAGATACGGTTAGAGTTTCTTAGCCATCACTTATAAGGTCTGACTTTGCTGTACCTTTATTTTAACTAAAGATCCACAAAATTAACTCAACTTAAGCACTTTAATCCTAAAAAAAATGGTAAACTGTAAAACAAAAAGCAATTTGGACAATTGTCTTAGCTAGTTTTTCCCAACATGCAACCCCTCTGTGGCTCAAACATGCCAAAAACTGATTATGACCAAGTTTATATTGCTAGCCAGATTAGTTTTGTTGCAGGCAGACTGGATAAGAGTAATTAAAAAGAACAGTCCAATTTAATGCCTAAAGTGCTGCTGAACTTGAGGTTCCTTTGGTTGCTTAGTCAGGCCTTGCTCAGACTTCCACGCTCAAGGAAAAGGAATTTTCCATATTGTAATGCCTGCAGAAGGAAGCAGTCTGACCTGAACCAAATCTAGCATCTCTCTTCTTTCCCAGGGCAGGAGGAAAAGAAACTTGGAATAGACAGTTGGGGGGGGGAGGGAACAGCCCCAGAGCAGAATGTAGGGGATTGCCCTCCCTTTATTGCTCCTGCTCCCTTTGACCTGTTCTGTTCCCACCCATGCCCTCAACTCCTTGCTAGGTGTGCCTTGCCTATCACAAGCTCAGCCCGGGGCATCAGCACCTACTGAGATGATGTCTAGGTGAAGAGGAATTAAGCCCTGCCCTTGTCCCAGGGCTCCACCTCAGATCAAGAAAATACCCCCAGGCCAAGATCGCTGCAACACGGGAAGAGAGTAACCCTTCTTCCCACAGCTCCCCCTCCCTCGTTGTTTTTGGAGCCTTCGGAAAGAGACAGCCTGTCTCACTTCCCACCTATAACTTAAGGACTGACACAGACTACTAGGTCAAGTGAGGAAGATGGGTTGTGTGGATGCGTGTCCCGGGGAGTGGAAGACTCTGGCCCGGCCCTCTTTCACTAAAGCAGGGTTTCAATGGCCGTCCGAAGGGACAGCAGTAATCGGATTGTTTAGCTGGAGGCTGGGCTGCCTCGGGTATCTACCGCTTTGCTGCAATTCGGATTACCTGCATCGGAGAGGAATGAATAGCTGCCAGGGTGCTAGCACGGTCTTACGTGCCATTGTGCTTTCCAAGATGCTACAACCAGCCTCACCCCGTTTCTGCCGCTGCCCCTCTTAATCTCCTGCTTTGATCTCTCCTTTCCCCAGGATTGGCTAACACAGGACAGCGCTTTGGTTAAGGATTGGGCCGGTTGGCATGTCACTCAGAAAGAGGAGGATGGCTGTTGCAAGCTCCGAAGTCCGGGAATGCAAAGTGAGATTTATGCGGTCCAGGCTCGCTCTTAGGCGAAGGTGCGTCGCGCGCTCGGCCAGGTGAAAGTGATACCTTGGGACGTGCACGATCTCATAGGGATTATGCTTCACTCCCCAGGATTCCCTTCTTGTGCCTTCTTTGTGGAATCCACCCACCATCCTGCACGAAAAGACGATGATTTTTTTTCTACCTTTTGGAAATCGGGCGTCTATATATGTTCAAAGTGTGGAACATATATGTACTTGATAAAATCGTTCGTGTGATGGACGTGGAAAAGGCATTTCTGCTCCCTCACCCCCCATCCCCGCATTTTTGCAAGTGGCAATCACTTCATAAGAAATTTCTACTCTGATGAAGTTTCCTTTCGGGATTACAATGAAAGTCATTAGAAATTGTTTTGAAACAAGGTCATCCTAGTCCACACATAAAACTAATCAGGATGCTATCTGATCAAGCCTTGGATTGAGTATGCATATTGCCAAGCCATGGTTTGCTTATTTACGCTTTGCTAAACAAGACGCTGGGATCACATTTACCTCTAGCGTGCTTAACAATGATTTACTAGGGGAAAAAAATGGTTTTAATTTGCTCTGAACTCAGCCAAACAAATTACAGAATAGTTTAGGGCTGGGAATAAATGTATGATGGGGCCACTTCTATACTGTATTACTGCCAAGAAAATTACCGATGAAGTCTACAAGATTCAAGCTCGATTCAAAGGTGGCGTCAGTTTTTCGTAATTCTGAACTTCTTTAGCAGAATTACCTCCGGTTTCCACGCGGCGTCTCCCTTGTTTCGTTCAACGCGCTCTGAAATGGATAATGGCACTTTAGAAGGTGGAGCGTTGGCTCGCTAGGAACTTCAGTTCGATGGCGCTGTTGGCGGTCGAGCTGAAGCTTTTGCTGCTCGCACCGGAAGAGTGTTCCCTCCCGAGCATCTTATTTCCACTATCCGACCAGGACTTGCAATTTCCCCTTTTTTACAGGTAAAAGCTGAAAGTCTCTGTTGTGCCGATCTTCGCATCTGAAAGAAAACGTATATGGCGTTTTTACTCCTTTCGTTCAATACAAAGTCATTTTTTAAATGACTTTTTTTTTTAAAAAAAAAAATCCGTATTAGGAAGTCGTCGGTGTTTGATTTCCTATACACTTTGGTCAGTTGTATTGCGTACTTGCAAATGCTCTGCGAAAGCTGGAAAGTTTTCAAAATATGGATTGATTCTTAGAAAAGATTCAAAACGTTTCTTCCAAATAATTAAAGATTTAGATTAAGGTTATAGGTTAATTGTAGATCCCAATGTAATAAAAAATTTATTAAACAGATTTTATAAGTTCCATGGAAATGAATGAGGACAAAGGATAAGTAATCTTTTTATGGAATAAACAAACTGCCTTTTAGAATGAGGAAAATACAAGGAAGGAGCTTCTTTTTTCGTCTGGTCTAACTAACCTGTTCAGCTAGGACACTCAGTTTTTTTAAAGTATAATTGATTTGTTGGAAACTATGTGAATCTAGCTATTATGATTCAGAAATAATGATAGTGTGTAACAAAACCTCTGTTTTTGTCTATGCAGCCATCTATGATTAAACAAATAACAGCCTCGTGTGATGAGGGTGAAGTTTCTTCACATGCTCAGTTCAGCAGTGTATTATATGCAGCATAAATTCACTATAGTATTTTCAACTTTTTATGCGCAGAGGCCACACAGGATTGCAAAAGCTTTTTATCTCATTGGATTAAAATGAGATACACTGCTAAGGTTCAAAAGCATTTGCTAGAGCTAATCATGCTTGATTTTATTTCACCATAATTTATCTGCCTAAGTGTATTAAGAAGCATCAGTTGACAATAACTTCAAATATATAATGTGTCTATGTTGGAGAAATTGTGGCTATGTATGAAATTATTTGAAAAGTGAAGGAGACTTTAATGTGCTGTATTCAGTGAACGCAACTTTGCCACCCCGGTGGTACACACTCAGAAAAACATGGTTAGAGATACAGTTGTAATAAAAAAAAATCCATGTTAACATAATATATGATACTATAATGGTCTATTTTTTTCTGTGCAAAGTAAACCTGTTTTGAATTTGAGAAGATTCATTTGTTTATCTCTCCATCTCTTAGTGATCTACTAGGACAATATGGAATTTGAATCTGACACTGATGTTCTTCTCTACAAAAATGATGAGTTCAGAATATTGTGCCATGGTGATGTATACTGTTATACCAGACTACTGAGACAGGCCCTTCAATAGTCCTGCAAAGGAGAATCGATGCTTATACCTAAAAACTGATATTTTTCTGAAGCAATGACAACTTTCAGTAGTGTTTATTACAGGAAGATTTTGTATCTATTCTCTTACCATGGATATTTTAGAATGAATCAAATTAAAGATACTCTTCTAAATCCCTGGCATAGATGTCTGAGAAATTACTCCTATTATAAAGCCAATTTGGTCTCAGCTGTTGATGTGGTCAAGTATTGGCAAGCGGTGTTTGAGGTAAACAATATCCCAGAAGCGCAGACATCTTCTGAATATATTGTTTCCCATGTCCTGGGAGCAAAAACAGTTAAGTGCTATGGGCAAAATTAGAGCTATAATACAAGATCTGTAAAACTATAGATTAACATTAAATGCAGTAACTGAAATATATTTTATATGTTTTTCTATCTCCCTGCTACACTGTGGTGATTATCCATATATTTTCAGCCCAGAACTGGATGATCTAATACGATGTGTGTATGTGTATGTGTGTACCAAGCATCAAAATGGATCCCTTAGGATCAATTTACCTGTCCTTTGGCACATAACAAATCTCCCTAAGAGATAAGTAGCACTTCTTGCAGGCAGGTTGTAGCTTAGGCATGCTTCCAAAGAATTGTGCTAGTCAAAATACATGGAAATGTTCACTATTCGCAGTGGGATTGGCTTTTAATATATCTTTTTCTTGATTATTAAGTACCTCAGATATATACGTGTTTTCATTTGCCATAGATTATAATGGTTAAACTACTGCTCCTGCTTCATTACTAGAAATTAGATTTAATCAGCAGTTAGAAGGACATGCTCATACATGAACATTCATTTCATTATTTCCTTTGGGGATAAGTAATATGCAGAGTGCTGAGAAGGAAAAATAAATAGTTAGATAATGAAATTACAGTGAAGGCATGAGGTAAGAAAAAACATCAGAAGCTAGGTTACACGAACATCATCAACTCCAACTTTCCCTAGCTTTCTGTCTATTCACATCATTGTTTCCATCATGTCCATGTTCCCCATTTTTTTCACACATTAATATCTTTCTCAGCAAACTAAATCAGTTAAAATCTCTTCTGCACAAGGCGCTGCCCAACAGTCACAGTGACTTTCCAAATTTTGCTCACTGTCACCAATTCAAGGTTTTTAAGCAGGATTCGTCAAATATCTTTCTAATAGCATTAATTAAATGGTCCCATTGCATTTTGTACATGTATTTGTATTATCTTTCTCTTTCCATAATAAAACAATAATGATATTTTTCCAATCATGCAGTTTTCATACATACTTATTAAGCAAGTCTCAAAAGCAGTCCAAACCCACGTTAACACTTATTCAGTTATATATTCTTTACCTGCAGCTTTATCATTTTTGGCATTATTAAAGTGTTTATTACTTCATTTTCTTCTCCTTTAGATACCAACATTTTTTTCTTGGATACTAACATTTATAGCATTGTCATCAGCTATAAGTGCTTTCATAAATAATAAATAGTATAGTAAATAAAAGGCTTTTTTAGTAATTAGAAAAAGTGTAAGCCTTAATCCTACCTGTGTCACGTAGCTTAGCATATATAAAATGCAATTTCTTCTTAAAAGATGCTCATTAAAAACTGCCTTTATATTTTAAGAAACCCACAAAAATAAATAGTCACCTTACAGGGGAAGATGGGCGGCATAAAAATTTAACAAATAAAAATAAATAATCAGACAATTTTATATAGCTAATAATTTTAATTTCCATGCTGGCTGCAGAAGACTGAAAGAATACAGGTAAATATTAGTACTAAGAAAATATCCTAACAGCTGTATCAAAAAAGGAACCAATTACTAAGATTGATAGTGATGTTTGTATTACTAAATGTGTTCAAGCAGAGGCTGAACAGCCATCTTTTAGAAATGCTTTTAAATTAGATTCCTGCACTGAGCAGGAAGTTGGATGATGATAATGATGATGATAATAATAAAAAGTTGGAAGGGACCTTAGAGGCCATCTAGTCCAACCCCCTGCTCAGGCAGGAATCCCTATACCATTTCAGACAAATGGCTGTCCAGTCTCTTCTTAAAAACTTCCAGTGTTGGAGCATTCACAACTTCTGGAGGCAGGTTATTCCACTGATTAATTGTTCTGTCAGGAAATTTCTCCTTAGTTCTAGGTTGCTTCTCTCTTTGATTAGTTTCCATCCATTGCTTGGATGTGATGGCTTAAATAAAGCTTTCCAACTCTGATTTTATCATTCCCCATGCTATATATTTGTTAATATGGATATTTAACATTAATTATATTGCTTTGTCTCAGAGTATGGTATACTAAATAATAGATTTAAGTTGCAGGAAGGTAAATTTTGGTTTAGGTTTTTGGAAAAAACATCGTTGGAATGTGTGAAATATGACCAAAAATGAATTTTAATATTTTATTCGGAAGAGGATTGAGGAAAGACAAAAAATAAGAGTGTTGAATTGGGAAATGCAGAAGAGTAATTAAAGTACTCACCTAATTTCCTTACTTTATATGGGCACATACCATCTGTCCTCTGTGTTTATAATTGATTCAATGAAAGTTAGCCTTCATGAGCTATTCTCGTTAAAGGAAATGATAGAGCAATTGGTTAGTGGACCCATGTATGCTGAGATTGAATTTCTCTTCATTGGATGCTGGAGAGGCATCTGTCAATATGCTTTTAATTTAGATTCCTGTATTGAACAGCCCGTTGGACTTGACCATTGGAAGGCTAGTAGATAAGAAATTCATCCTTTGTCAGCCTTCATATTGCCAACTTTGAACCTCTTTTTTGCCAGTGGTTACTTAAAAAGGAAATTAGACTTGTATACTACTTATCTACCATACAAGTTATTATGAGCCTCTTGCATTTAGAAGCAGTATAGCCTTGAAAGCAATTTACAATGCTGGAATTGTGGCTATCCTCCTCCTTTGTTGATGTCAGTTCAGCCTTCACCACTAGCTGTCCAAAGGAGAGAAACTGAGCTATCTGGGCTAAGCTGATGTTTATGTAAAGGTGGTTGAATTCCTTCTTCAAGGCCATCTCTGTAATTCCTCTATGGGGGAAGACACATCAACATCTGTAAAAAGTCCAGTATTTCCAGATGACATCAAATTGTGATGACATGTTAGAATGGAATCCAACATGCTGGATTAGATAGATTTAGTTTTTCCATAGTTTTTTTTATAATGACCATATATCTATGGTGGGTAGTTGACCATTTTACAAAGAATGTGGATTCTTAATTTAAAATAAAATATTTATTCAGTTCCAGAGTCTGAATGCCAGCAGCATATCTGCTCCCCTTTCAGCAAAGCAACAAAAACAGATCCAACAACTCTGTGCTAAACGACTACAACGGTAGGCACTCTGGACTTTTTTCCTTCATCTAGGACAGGGGTATCAAACTGATGGCCCGCGGGCTGGATGCATCATAGAGAAATCGCGCCCACCCCATTGCCAGCAAACATGATGCAACACGTCATGTGTTGTTGCAAATTTGACACCCCTGATCTAGGAGTTCTTTATAAACATGGAACACGTAGAAACTAAAGCAGCCAAATTGCAACATCAGCTGATTCAAAACCTTCACTGAGGTCCGTGTCCTGAAATAATGGAAGAAAAAAAATCAGGTCATTTGGGTGATCTGTTTTATTACTGTCATAGCTTACAACATAATGGGCAGCATCTATATTATATAAAAAAAGTAAAACTTATAGACAGAAAGGGGAAATTGGGGGAAGGGGAAAGGGGAAAATATATAAAAAGAGAAGAAAAAATAATTACAGCAGTGACAGAATTACTTAGTTGATATCCACCCAATGCAAAAGTTTAAGAGAGGGCTACACTCAAAATCTGTATGTATAGCTATATAAATATATGTGTCTATGAGATTCACAGCAAATAAAGCACAACAAATAAAGCACTTCCCATAACAATGGGAAAAGTTTTGTCATGTGGCAATTGGCATGAGCTAGTTACTAAAGCCCTATTTCCATAGTAAAAGAAAGTACAGCATCTGGTTATTAGCATAGTCGTACTTTGAAATAAGTTACAATATTATGCTTATGAAGCTTTAAGGTTTTATTGTACTTTCTGTTTGATGAGAAGCAGAACTCTTTTGTGAAGAATTGTCTTAGATCTTGAGAAGTTTGAATGTTAAACTATTCTCTAAAGGTCAAGTAAAACGATGTTATAGGAGGTTGTAATTGAACAATTGGCAGAGTAATGGATAAGCTTGTGGTGATGGTATTTTTGCTTCAAAAGTAAAAGAGCTTCTTAATGACATCAAGGTACATTTAGAAATTATTTATGATAAAAGGCTGTCTGGTGGAACTGGACGTTCTTGCCTCCCATTTCACTCACGGAGGAAAGAACTGCCAGTGCAGTTTGTGTTTTAGCAAATGGCGGTGAATTAAATGTGATAATAGCATTCTTACAACTTTGGCCAAAAGTATCACACAAATCGTCTTCTATTTCAGGATGCCAGTACAGTATGTTCTCGGTGAATGGGATTTCCAAGATCTGACACTCAAGATGAAGCCTCCAGTTTTCATTCCTCGACCAGAGACAGAGGCAAGTTATTAGAAAGGAAAAACTGCAGCTGTTTCCTGCATGCATATAAGTGTCTGCAACCTTTTGTTTTGAAGGAAGCACAATGGTGGTCAGCCAGCTTGAGGGAACATAAATAGGAACAGGAGGCTGTTCTTGACTCTGCCTTCTCATAAGCAAAGGAATTTTACATGTGTATGTTGGTCCCATTGTCTGCTGACTTAAAATAAACTTCAGAATAAGTTTAATTGCCATTTTCTTATCTCCCGTGATGCAATTTTTCTCTTGAATTTCTCACTTTTTTCACAAACCTGATGTCTAGAGTGTGGATGTTTACCAAAAAGTTTAACAGTTTCCAGATCCTCTGGTTTTCTAGGTTGGAAATTACACTTTATCCATTGGGCAAGGATAGTTTCTGCCTTACTATGGAACATGGTGACAAATTATTTTGTGATCCCTTATAGATCCCAGATTCTAACAAAATATCTGAACCTCAGTACATCCCTTAATAATCTAGATGCCAAATCTTCCTTTGCAAAATGAGCTTAAAAGTAATAGCCCAACCCCAAACTGACAATCATAATGTTACTTTCTGTGCCAAGCCCTCATTGTCACAGAGCTGCAGCCTGCCCACCCGGTTTTTAAACAAGTATGTGATGCAAGCAGTCATAGGGAAAACAAAAGAGTATTTTCACTATTTTGAAATCTACCTAGGCCAGCCTGATTTATAGTTAAGTACACTGTCATGTTCTATCTTTGTGTTTGCCAACATATCAGATATTATGTGGGACTAATTTCAAAACACAGCAGTGGGCTTCTTTTTTCTCTCCTCCCTCTCTTTGCTCAAATTCCTGAATGGACCTGAACTGAATGTAGGGAATGTATGGAATTTGTCAGTTTGTTATAAGTTATTACTGATATTACACTGTATTAATTTTTGAATGATCTTCTTACCAATAAAATGTACATTTAATGTAATGGGTAACAGAGACTGACAGTCTGAAGAGCATAATGTTAGAACCAGATATTTTTTCATTTATCTTCCTGGAATACTACAGCTACTTTAACACTTGATATTCTCTAAGTAAGTGCTATTTTAACATTCTTTTTAAAAATGCTTTCATATTACTGGCTCAGTTTATTGTTTGTATAAATAAGCAGAGATACAGGGAAAAAAAATATCTGTGGAGTCCTTGGTTTTCTCTGAGCTTTGTTGTTTGCTTACAGACATTTCATCACCTGATTAAATAAAACCATCAGTCCTAGTGAGTGTGGGTTTGCTCCCTGTTTATATACTTGCTCTGCCTGTGTTGGCAGAAGTGGGGCTTTCTCCCTGAGAGTTCCTTGATTAGGGTATTGTCTTCTCTTCATTGTTCACCTGATGTTAATCCCTTCCTATCTGGGTGTAGACTCTGGAGAGGATAGTTCTGATCTTTTTGTTTCATTTTTTTTAATTGTCTCGTTTGAATAGTCTGTAGATGTAGTTCATCTCTATGTCTCTATTGAAAGCTGATTTGAATTTGAATGCCACTCTTCCAGAAATTCCCTAGCATTTTTAGATCTAGTTCAGTCTAGGATGCTCACAGTTTCCCAGTTCAAATTATGGGTGAGTCTCTCTGTGCATTGTGAGAGTAAGAAGTTTTTTTTTCTTTTTTTAATATATTTTATTGATTTTTTACAATAGCAATATTTAGTGCTTAGTAAACAGTGTGTTGTCTGGATTCATATATTTTAAAACAATAATAATTTCTATAATTCCATAATCAGTATATTAGTTAATGATATAATAATAATAACGTTGGAAGGGACCTTGGAGGTCATCTAGTCCAACCCCCTGCTCAGGCAGGAAACTCTATACCATTTCAGACAAATGGCTGTCTTCTTAAAAACTTCCAGGAGGCAGGTTGTTCCACTGGTTAATTGTTCTAACTGTCAGGAAGTTTCTCCTTAGATCTAGGTTGCTTCTCTCCTTGATTAGTTTCCATCCGTTGCTTCTTGTCCTGCCTTCAGGCGCCTTGGAAAATAGCTTGACTCCCTCTTCTTTGTGGCAGTCCCCTGAGATACTGGAACACTGCTATCATGTCCCCCCTCGTCCTTCTCTTCATTAAACTAGACATACCCAATTCCAGCAGCCTTTCCTTATATGCTTTAGCCTCCAGTCCCCTAATCATCTTTGTTGCTCTTCTCTGACTTTTTCTAGAGTCTCAACATCTTTTTTACATCATGGTGGCCAAAACTGGATGCAGTATTCCAAGTGTGACCTTACCAAGGCATTGTAAAGTGGTATTAATACTTCACGTGATCTTGATTCTATCCCTCTGTTAATGCAGCCCAACACTGTGTTGGCCTTTTTGGCAGCTGCAGCACACTGCTGGCTCATATTTAAGTGATTGTCCACTAGGACTCCCGGGGCCCTCTAACAGTTACTACTATTGAGCAAGGTACCTCCTATACTATACCTGTACATTTGGTTTTTCTTGCCTAAATGTAGAACCTTACTTTTTTCACCATTGAATTTCATTTTGTTAGATAGCGCCCAGTGTTCAAGTCTGTCCAGATCCTCCTGTATCCTAAGCCTGTCTTCTGGAGTGTTGGCTATTCCTGCCAGCTTGGTGTCGTCTGCAAATTTGATGATTTTCCCACCTATCCCCTCGTCCAAATCGTTGATGAAGATGTTGAAGAACACTGCGCCCAAAACAGAGCCTTGGGGCACCCCACTACACACTTCCCTCCGTGTAGATGCGGTTCCATTGAAGTCCTCATGCTGAGTACGGCTGGTCAGCCAGCTATGGATCCATCTGGTGGTGATGCTGTCTAACCCACATTTTTCTATCTTATATTTCTTTGATCTTCTCTTCTTCCGGTAATATTCTCCTTTGTCAACATTAAACGGATATAATTCTTAATACTTTAGATATATACAAGGTTGGATATAAACATTTTTCTTGTGTTTGTACAAATAACAATAACATCCACATATAATATCTTTTCTAATCGGCTTATGTTTCAATTGTATTTGTAAAAGTCATCTTATTAAGTCACTATACGTCCTGTTTTCAAGATTCTTACTTAAGCTTAATTTCCCCTCAGTATTCAAACCATTCTTATCAGTCATAATTTTCTCAAAATTAATTATTTTTAAATATCCAAACTTTTCATTCACATACATCATCCCAATATTTTTACATCTCATATATTATAAAAAGCACTATACTACTTATATATTTTATTTTTCTTACTGTAGGGCCCCTTTATATCCAAAATTTATCTATGCCTTTAATCATATTCAAACAAGTGTTTAGTCATATAGAACTCCATCTGGTAAGTCGAAACAAATCTCTTGAATCTGGCCTTCTTCTTTTTCCATGTATCTTTCCACGTAAGCATGTTCCGCTTGCCAGGGGATCTTCCTGTATTTTTATGAGTATTGTTGGGAATAGAAAAGACAAATTAAGTAGGATGTACTTTTTTTGTCTTCCAAATTCTAATGATTCTCCTGGCCGTTCTGTAATCCATTTTGTTAGATCTTCTTTCTTATCCTCAAGTTTGTTTTGAAATTCTGAAAGATAAAATATCTTTTCCATTTTCATTACTTTGGCGAAATCTTGCAAATTTTCCTTTGATTTTATTAAGCTGTGGTTCTCTTCATTTGTAGCTTTCCTATTTGAGTCACTTTCCTCTGGTTTATGTTCTGTTATCTGATTTGTCTGTTCATTCTTTATCGTCATTTTCTGAGTGTTTTTAAATTATAGGTTTAGGATGAAGATGTGCTCATTTATGCCATCAAAGTTGTTTTTAATCTCATGATTTGAAACAATTGTCATTTGAATCTATCACAGCATTGCATACATTTCCTCCTGGAAGGTATTCGCCTTGTCTTGGAGTGTTGCTCCTGCAGATGTCTGATATTCCAGGCTGGGACCTTCAGAAGGGAATATTAGGTGTGGTTTCCTGTCACTTTTAGATATGTATGCAACATCCATTTTGTCTCCCCCCTCCAGATAATCATTCACCGGTACCATAGTCTCTGTGATTAGCCTTGTGAAACCAGCCAATCTTAAAATCCAAACAACCAAATCTTATATAGTTTTTATCTTTACATATGATTTTTGCAATCCGATGTGTTTCCAATTGTCGAAGCATCATTGAAAGCAGTATTTTATAACAGTTCTTCTATTCAGGGGTCACAATTATCAACCAGCCAAAATTGCAATCCAGAATATTTAGCCACCTAAGAGCTTTCCAGTAAATTCCCCCCAGAAGATTAGCCAAAAGTCAAGGTTTTTCTTTCTCTGCAAACAGTTCTTGAGCTTAGAAGTCACAGTTCAGTAAGTATTTATAATCCCAGAAGGTCAGCAGTTTTTAAAACAAATGTAGTTCTCACTCTGTAGTAGATAGCCCAGTGTATTTTCTTTCCTATGTTCCCAGCTGTTTTTTATTTGGTTAAAAGTCACTAAGGTTCAAAGGAACAAGTTTTTCTTGATTTCTTGGCATCTTGCCAATTTCTGAGTCAATGTAGCTGTAGTTTTACACTCTAATCCTCCAGTAGATATCAGTAGCTGTTCATTTTCCAACTTTTAAGGCAAATAATTATTTTCTTATAATTTCATCAATACTTAACAGTTTTCATAATTTTCAGATTTATCCAGACTGTAGTATTATTAACTTCATTTCAATATATTTTTGTCCCCCATAAACATTAATTCGCTGCTTCCATCTATGGAAGAGTGGGGGTGTGGCCCCCTGCCTTCTCACTTTCGGAGGATTTTTTGCTTCTTCAGGATGTTTTCCAGAAAATCAGTTACAAAATAGGAGAGAGAAGATCGATATTCTCACCTAGTTCCAAGCACGCTGTTCACAATTCTTCTGGTTAGTGCGTTTGGACTTCGGCTCTCAGTAGGTTGTGCTAGTCACCGAGGTGTGGCTAGCCTTTCTCCTGTCAGGTTGGAGGGCTTCCCCTGGATCAAACGGATTGACCGCCATCATTCTGCCATCAGCAGGGGGGACCCTCCGTTGCCTCTCCA